TCTTAAATTCTCCAGGGACCAGTCCTCCTCTCCTTATTCGCCAAGTCCTTATCTCCCTTGGCAACTCTTTTGCTCTTCGCTACTTCTTCTACTAAAATTCCTTTTTTTCTCTCTCCTTTTTCTTCCCTGTTTTCAGCAGTCTCGTTGTTCCGCGTTTCGCGACTCGGGTTTCGGTAGATTGGCATCACCGCGGTCGCGGCTAATTTAAAAGTTCTTCCCGTTAGCCGTAGCCTTTCGTGTAATTAAATCGCGATTAAGAATACCAGTGTACGTACCTATACACGTGAAAGCGGCGACGCGACGCTTCCCGACGTCCTCGGCGCGTCCATCAAGTACGCCATTGATATAATACCTTGTCCCGAGAGCGTTCCGTTATTTAACGCATGGTGAACTAGATATCGTAAAAGTGAAACCCGGAACGCCCAAACCCAGCGGCAGCTCGGATCGTGACTATAATAATTCTTAGCGGGGTAGGCTAGGGGCAAGGAGGGGTTTTAACCCCGTCAGAGTCAGGAGTTAATATAAGCCATTAGTCTCGGAAAGGATTCTTCGTGGCGCGAGAGCCCCCTATTGCCTTGTAGTTCGTTGAGGGTTGTTTGCCAAATGGTTAAAAGGGTACCTAGCGATGCTTTGAAAACGCGGCTTGAAGGATTTCCACTTTGGCCTAACCTCACTTTTTCTTCTCTTTTTTTTTCTACCGCGATTTGTTAATCGCGACCCGTCCACGAGTCGCCAGGCTAATGCGATAGCCGGAAAAAGCGCAGTGTGATCGATCGACGAAAGTTCTCTTGAGGGTAGGGTTTAATGAGTCGCGTGGTGAAGATTCAGTTAGGGTTTTGCGGTTAACTGCCCGGGAAGTGTGGGCTTCGGGCTTGGTAGAATCGATGGTGTGAATTTCGAATAGTCTATTTTGTCTTTGTCGTCCAACAACACCACGGGGGAAACGACGTCGTCGCCGGAACGCTACATGAAAATGGAGCCTATTTATTTTTCACTTCTCTCTCATATTGATTTATACTTTCGGGTGGGATTTTATCTTTTATTTTTAGTATTTATTTAGATAAGGGAGGATGCTTTCTTTAGCCTCCTTATTCCGCTCGCCAAGAATATGTACTATTGTATCTATATATAGGTATACGTATAATACGTAGAGGGTAATTTAGGCCAAGCGTATCAGCTGAAGTTGGTTTTACCATGGAAATCAAATGGACGCGCTAACTTCATTTGGGATATATGTATATATATACCATTTCTTTACCGGTCTTCGTATACATATATTCCTTATTCTTATTGCCTGCCTCGGGTTACATTGCTAGAATTGGGGAACGCAATGTATTAGACTCCGATACGCTTCGCAGCAACTCAATTTACACTGATGTGTCTAGCATTCCTCATGTGTGGCACGCAAATGCTATGTAATCAGGCAAGCACTTGATCGATCTTCATGCAATTTTTCAAGAGTTATATACTTTTTTATTTAGGTCAATCAACACACCAGTAATATTAATCTCCATTAAGACTCGTATGAAACAATTAATAGGATCAATCAAAAGTGTATCGGAAAGCCATGAACAATTACGAGCGATCCATCTGGCTTATAGATCATGCAAATTGATTCGTCACGCGGGATAAAAACCCGGGCCAAATGATATTAGTGTGATATAATTCAAGCTTAGTCCTTGAAAAATTGCATAACACATTCTCGGATTAAATACATTCATTTTCGGCACTCCGAGCTATAATATTTAAACTTTCATCAATTTCATGTAAATTTCCTGCAATTTTTTGCACGTGTTAATTATTTTTGCAAAAAATCACACCGATCTTATTTATATCGGGTGGTCACGTCGGTTAACGTGAAAGTTTCACGTTCCCACGATCCACATTTTATGAAGGGATCCATCTTTAATCGATTATCAAATCGATCGTACCATTTCGATATATTTATCGATTTAATTATTTCCGGGATCCTTATGATGATGGTCGATATGTTCGAGGCGTGGAAAACTCTGCGTTATCCTGTTTCGATAAAGTTCACGACCTTTTGCACTGTCGATGCTGCGCGATAAAATGAATGGCAGGTTCGTTATACGGAGGTACGTTATAATGGAGACCTCGGACACGTTATTTAAGCATCAGGGTCACTTAACGAGCCGTGTTACCATAGACTCACGATCCGGCATATTCGTAAGCAAATCAATGCTGAATTGATTGAAATATTTTCTTCGGAATTTATTACAATCGCGAGGACAGATGCGGCAGTGAATTTTATAAGGTCCATGAACTATGTTATATATTGCTTTTAGGTTATATATATATATATATATATATATATATAATTGCCATAAGTGAAAAGCAAAGAAATTTTTTAAGACTTACAGCTGCGGTAGGTCCTACCTGACCAGTATTGGATATATACAACTTCTCTCTACAGGTATACCTATGTACGTATTTTGCGAGAAAGGAACTGACTGTCAAAGAATTTCATACGATGCCGCCAGGTACAAGGAGCTTTAGGATAAAAGTGACAAAACTTTAAGTCTGTGAGGGATTATCTGAAGGTTCTCTCAGGACGATTTTCAAAGGACGGGACCACCCAGAAGATCCAATACGTCCCCCTGATACCAATGTATGAGATGGATAGCATTGAGTGGAGAGGGGGAGTGAGAGAGAGAGGGACTTGGAGAGTGTTAAATTAACGATGAAGTATAAGGGATGGAAAAATTCGCAATTGAGAATAATTATTGCGAGTAATAATAAATGGCAAGGACTAACCTTTACTGTTGTGCTATTATGTATAAAGATGGCAATTAAATGTTTAACTGCTGTTTACGTTACGTAATGCGTAGTCGTATCTTTTCATACAGTAGAAAGTTTGCTCTAAGGTTGATTTTCGTTAAACTCTTGTCGCGAATTTACCTTAGATATTCATTGTATATATGTATATCTGTATATATATACTTTATATATCAAAGCTCGAACCATGTATAATGTATTACGTGGTATTGTGTATCGTGGTCTGATCGATAATTACATGTTACGTTAATTTAATTGAAAATTAATTTTCTAACAATTTACCACCGATTATTTGTTCCTCTTGTGATAATAAATTATATAGACTTTTGATAAAGAGGTGGGTTCCACACCTTAAGGAAGCTTTATCTTATGAGGTTGTGAGACCGTATCACTTTCCCTAGAATTCACATGGAATTTGTGACACTCGCAAATATTGGAACCTACGGTAGATAAAATGTAGCACGAATTATCGCGCCTGCACTTTAGCTTAATATATGGAAATGAAACGCATTGCCTGAACTGTATACAGCATACATATATTATAGTATATATATACATATATATATATATCTTCTTGAAGCGAACGGTTTACGCGCAACGAACGATCAGGGTTTACCGATCTATGCAAATCCATCCGTACAGGTTAATAAAGGCCGTGTGGGCCGCGTACGTCTTGCACAACCAATCGAAAGCATCTTTCGTGGTCGATCTTGATACCGTAGTGTATCCATATATACATATCTAAATTTATGGCATCGCCGAAAAAGGATATAAGAATTGTCGCCGTAAGAGGATACTAGGTGTACAAGTAATTCTTTGCGAATTTAAAAGAATCTGATAGGAAGAGATAATTTTTTTCGACTTGGCATTATCTTAAAGATGCTATCGTTTGCGCATGGGAGTATCAGGCGCCGTAAAATATTTCCTGGAAGAAATATGACCTACGCCCTTCGGCACTAAAACTTAATAACACGGCATCATGTATGCGCCGGAGATTCAACGAAATTGAGACATTGCAAACACGAGATAGGAACGTAATATACGTCCATGACAAGACACGCCTTTTCGTGTACCAAGACTGGGATGAAACAATGGTTACAGTAGATTGCCAAATAATTGTTAAAGTTAATTGTTAAAATTGACAGTTTTCGAACACGTGGCATAATTTATAATAATTATAATACCCCTGATGCTTGGCCCGGCCGAGAACAGTTTAAGGTGTTAAGCGATGCGGGAAACAATGAATGTGGTAAAAGTAATCTTGCCCTGTAAATTAAATGGGATGCTGCGGTCCTTTCAGCACTATTTTCTTTCAATTAAAATTGTTTGTCTTTCGCATTAATTTGGAACCGTAGCTGTCGACTTGTTTAAAAGTCATTGATACACAGGGAAAAAGCAGTAGCATTTTATTAACAGCTATTGACTCCGATGTCAATGATCCTTTCGTGCATGTAAATTTGACTTGCGTTTAATTTTTCAATTTTTTTTATAAATCAAAAATCATCCGTCGCTTCGTTTGACCCGCTCGAAAATTAATCTCTTGCCGAGGACGTTAATCGATCTTTGTCCATCGGTGATATCTATCAGCACCTAAAGTTTTATTTTAATGGATCCAATAAAAGCCAAAGGAAGATATATCCAAGTGGTTAGCTGTATTCATACCAGTAGTGCCGTATCTAATGTTTGTTTGACCGCATGGAGCGAGCAATTATTTACGGTGGCGTGTGTGGTCGTTACTATAAGACCTGACTGCGTACAATTTGAGATTCGAAAGAGCATGAAATTTCCAATAAACCACGCCGACCTCGTTACCCCGTAGATATACAGGGAGGTACCTTAGCAGAGATGCATCTTCCATGAGAAATCATTCAGAATACCTCATCCGTATAATAAGGCGAAGCTGTTATCCTGTATAAGGATCACTTTTCACCCAGCTACCTCTAAGGCTTTGTAATACAACATAGTATATCTATATACGTATATATAACCTGCATAAATGCAGTATTGTCGAGACCAATTTTCTTGAGCGTCTAAACCTTAGACGCTCTTATCGTTCTGGATGCGTCAGCGGTACATTGTTAAAATTAAATATTCATCTAGAAAGTAATCATAATGGAGCAAAAAAATTTCTAAAAATTACCTGCACTTTTTTATACTTTATTCTTTGTGACTGTTTAAATAAAATATGCTATCTGTGTATTCAGGTTCATTAGCTGGCTGTCCGCAAGTGGTGGCACCGCAATGGGGCGCTGTACGAGAAAGAGTCCTGAAGGATGGATCCTTGCAGACAGTCTACTCCTGCTCACCAGGAAGACGATTAAAGGGACGCAGGATCCTCACGTGCACGAATCACGGTTGGGATTATCCGGTACCGAAATGCGTATCGTTTGGTAAGCTAATGATGTTTTTCTTGCAATAGCGATTTCATTGAACGATGCTTATCACTCTGACGTGACTATCGTCGTAATCAATACTGACAAGTTTGTAGTAGGTGAATGAGCGAGGAATGCTAAGGCGTTCTTTGTCATCGAATCGATCCGTTTATATTTTAATATTACAGTATATATATATATATAATAATAATAATAATAATAATAATAATAATAATAATAATAATAATAATAATAATGCAGCCATGAAGCTGATAGTTGAATGGAAAAGTTGATGTACCTTCGCCTGCAAAAGTGCTGCCCACGTTGATTCTATTGAAAAGTTAGCAAAGTGGGTGAGTCGCAGTGATTTAATTGAATAACGTTTAAATTCCTTTTAGCCAATACATATATATATATATATAACAGAATAAAAAGATAAGGCCATCAAAAGGGTTGTTTATTTAAGGTATCAAGATACCTTTAAACGTAACCGGACACCGTTTCACGTTTATCCTGATTACAGTAAATATAACGATAAGGACGTTAACGCCAGACGAAGCATAATTAGCCAACGTTAAAAACCGATAATTTTTTTCATGAGTTACCAAGAAGGGACCTCAGCAGTGTCCGGTTAATGGTGTTAGCGTGTCCGTGGATGAAATTAATTTCTCTTTCGTTGATACCCTTGGCTCACATGTAGTATCCTCTAAAGGCCATTAGAGAGTCCCCGGCGAGCCGCGTGAGACGTTGTTTCCTTTATTTCCACGACCCACCTCTTCTTCCTATTCAGCCTTTCTTGCCCCTCTGCCCTTCTTTTTTTTTCCTTTATCATTTCCCTCAAGCGGTGCCTTCCTTTCCTTTTTGGAATGAGACGTCGATGTTATATACGTTTACGTAATTATCGTAGTAGGCGATCAAGAACTCTCGAAAGCCCATTAAAACGCGACTTTCTTCGGACATAGATAAACCACTCGAGGGTCGAATGGATCGTGAGAGGCAGGTTTTTTCGACAAGGTTAGAGAAAAGGGTAGTCACCTCCTTCAGTACCTTTTTCAAGGTTGGTAGAGACCATTCAAGGGTTCACCATGTAGCGATCCAGGATGACGAATGATCGAGGATTATGATTTATCGCTGGTTATCAGTAAGTTTCGACGGTCTTATCGGATACCTTTTTTCTGTGCAAAATTTTGTACTGACTATATCTGTACGGTGTCCTATATAAGTAGACATTGGTAAATCGTCAATATGTACCGGGGAAGATGCTGTTGGATCTTCCTTGGACTAACTTGAAGGAGGCTGAGGTCGAATGTCAATCCTTATTTCTCTGGTGGGACTTCACGTTCGTGAATCGTCGGCGGACGTCAAAGACTACCCAGGGTCAGGGTGCATACCCTTAGGCTCTTTCGACTCGCCCACACGAGGCGACACGGCGACCGATTCGAAACTAGAGCCTGGGTCGTAAGCGAGAGAGGAATAAACGATTGTGGAGATGAAATAGCCAGAGGGACCGAGAGAGGGAGAGGGCAGGGACGCATTGGAGCAAGAGAGAGGAGAGTAAGATTTGTTGGCTGTAAAGAACGACCCAACCGAATAGCCTCCCTCGCAGGCACACAGTTGCCATTGTTTTCAAATCTCCAGGTGAAAACCATTAATGTCAAACGAATGAGAGTTCGGAATTCTGCTGGACGATCGGATCGATCTACGCACCAGTGCTTCTACCAAATAGTTGGTGAAATTTGATTTTTTACATTTGTAACTAACAAAATGGACTTTTTAAAGTGATTTCAGTTACTTGAAAATTGAGTGCTTTGAAAATATAAGAAAATTTCATTTTTATCCTTTGCTGGGGTCTTTCTGAGCTATGACGTCACTGGTACCGGTTTCAGTGCCGACATTAATTATGGATGTAATATCAATTTTTTTATCTCATTTTCTAATAACAATGTTCCATTTCACGCGAGTCTCTAATCAACGTATAATGGTCTCTTAAGGCGTATACTCATGATACCTCTTCTCTATAGTTAGGTTAAAGTGATTAATCGTTAACTATTATCTGCTTGCGGGCCGCCCTCTTAACCTTTGGAAAATTCCTAATCTCGAGGAACATGCTGCGCTTCGGTTTATAATTGGCTGATCTCGATTCGCACAAGCTGATTTTTCTCGAGGGATTTCACTGTTTTAGGTAGGAATCTCCTCGGCCCTTCTCACTCGTTAATTTTACTTCGGTCTTTATACTTAAACGTTGGCAGCTCCTCGCGTCGATTAAACTTTTCCATTAAGCTCGCTCCTCGTTTCTGTACGGTGACGACTCCAGGGCGTCGCCTTACAACGGGCTTAAGTTTTTTGATTTATTTAACATCCATCCTTCTTCCGTCAGCTTATTCACTGTGCTGGACTTTTATGCTCGCCACCTTCCTATTACGACAAATGCCACTCTTGCGATGCCGTTCGGAAAAGCTTTACCAATTTCCCAGGAGAAATTCGATCGGCTATACCTATACCTGTATATACTTACCACGAGAAATGAGTAATACCTTGTCACGGTTCATTTTGTCACACTTTCGTGCCAGATTTTCTGATATATGACCTCTGTGATTTCTAGCCTGTATAAATTTATATTTGCCTTTTCTTTTTTTTTCTTTTCTATTTCTATTTCTATTGCTGCATATATCATCTCAGTCTGTCGGTGCAATACGCACGGTGCGAGCTCGAGTGACAATTTGAATGGATTAAAACGCGTCGGATGCCTGCGGGATTGGATTTTATTTCATATATATATCCTGTATAATAGGTTAGTTCGTCACGTGGTCCTTTCATGAAAATGAGACTTTATATTTTTGAAATTTCTTTTCGCCCAGTGTTAAAGCAAAGATATGTCTGAAAAGTGATCTTTTTTTTCCTGAAACGGTAAATGGTATCTCGAAAACTCACGTATAAGTGCAACTGACAAAAGTCATAAGGCAAAGATGTTCGCTCTGGTAATGGATGAACAATGTGGATGCTGGAGGCGTATACATATATGTTCCGCAACAGGACGTCAAGTGGAGGCGGATATTTGTTAAGCGAAGATGCTTGGCGTCTTGTAGGTTGGGAATATAGAGTCATGAGAATTGCCAGTGACGAATTGCATGGGCACCGACACCACGTGATTTTCGATCGCTGGAGTCATGAGTTTCGAAATTGAGACATATGGTGATTCGTCAGAATCATCTTTCGATAGGAGAAATAAATTCTTCACCGATAAGGAAGATGGATCTTTGACGAAGGATTTAGGCATTTTTTTTTTGAGATTGGTATTTAACAAATTTTAAAAATTCCTAACGACAGCGTGGAGCCTTTCGGTTATTGATCATTGCAAAAATAATATTCGGCGACTGAACAAGGACGGTCAACAGTTCAGGGCGAGGCGATCGATCATACATTTATTGGCTCTCTCATCTTTGGGCATTGCCACTGATAGGAATTATGACTTGCCAATATGTCACAATGAAATGATGCATGGGCTATCTTGGTGACCCGATTGACACTGGTTTCTTGGAATTGCGTATAAAAATTGGCGTGACGGTCTCGTTAATTTTTATTATTTTTTTTTTTCTTCAATTTATCAGCATATGACGATACTGTTTTTTACTTCCTGTTATTTATTCAATTGAAATTTTTATTTTAAATAAAAACACTAAAGTACCAGTAAAACTGTCTTACGAATATTATGAAGAAGGATCGGCCATTTTTTTCATTAGCATTTTGCAGAGCATTCTCCGACTGGGTTCACACAATATTTATGCGAGATACTGTGTATACGTCATCGCCAAGTCGTGGGCTTAGAGTGACAATAAAAAATGAAAGAATAAAGTTACTCCCTAAGACACGAGAGTCTCGACTATAGAAACTCGCCGTAAGGTTATTCCACGTCACGATTACGCAACGTCAACGGTGGTTTCTGTAACCCGGAAAAAAAGAACATTGGACAATAAGAGACCCGTCTAGGACCCAGACAAATCGTATTTTTGCCATCGCATCCCACGCACCGTGGCAAGTCGTTTCAGGAATATGTACTGATTTACGAGAAAATATTGCGAAATCACCAAACCACCCAGTCAAGTAATTTCCGGTTTCGGACATTGTCGTAAGTAGTATACATACCGAGAGTGACGGTCAAACCCACAAAGAGTAGGTATCATAACGGTGGTTCACAACGGGCGATATTTGTCAAGACATTAGCAGGACCCATTGTGCAACCAGCCTAAGGAATATTCCACAGCGTGTATTTCCTAAAATGACGACCGGCAGTTAAAAATTGTAAAAAGAAAAGAATCGATAGTTATTTTTTTTTTCTAGAACCGAAAGTATTTTGGTATCACGATAATAATAATGATACGCTTCCGTATGACGAGATGAATGACTTGAAGACACAGTGATGCTTTCACTGAAATAATCAGGGAGTTTGATTGGAGAAGCCATAACGAATGAAGAGTTTAATATGGCTTTTGAATATGGTTGCTAATTACCAATTTTTTGTGTGAGGACTACTGGATCGTGAGAAGGATATATGTATATACACGCGTATACATATTTATTATATGATAGAATGTCTGTGGGATGATGAGATTAGTTGTCGCGTGTGAAAGTAGCGCGTTAATATCGAATCGTTTAGATAAGAGAAGGCTGAGAATGGTTTTACTTCTTAATATGGTAGTGCGTTACGCGGTTGCTTAATAATAGATGGCAGCTCGATCGTGATTAAATTTTGAAACGAAGCAGTGTTGACAATTAAAAGCGTTCGACTCGCATGCCAGGGTTTCGATAGTTTTTTTCATTTAGCAAGACGAAGAAAGGTTTACGAGCGATTATATATGTATATTATATATATATATGCGTGACGTATACATAGACAATAATGCGCGATGAAAAATAAAGGCGTACCTTTGATTCGATCGTAGCGGTTTTTCGATACGAGCAAGAGAATCGAATTGTTTGAGATTGGAGCACGTGGCGAGTTACACTTGGGATTACATGTACACATGTGTGTATACATATATATGTCTAGTAGAACCTGGACAAAATAAAATAAATCCATCATCTCCAGCCGAGTATAGGGATAGTAGATCCTAGATAATCGACTGTACGTGTACCAGAGCGAAGCGCGTGGTTTGATCGTTCGTAATTAATTTCACATGTCTGTTGGAACAAATAGATGCGCTCTATCTATATTGAATCGGTAAATCTATGAACCAATTTAATTAATTGAGTTTGCGTTTGTCGGTCCGCGCGTTGCCTCGAAACGTTTCACTACAAGTAACGTATGATTATTCGAAGGAGGTTAGTACCGGTATTAGCCACCAGGCGTAGTCGGCCAGTCAGCTGTTCAAGATTCAATACGAAGAACGATTTCAGTACATACGTCGCGGACGTTCTTGGATTTCTTTAAATGGAAACGTCTACAGAGAATTTGAGATAGAGTCTGAGATGAGAGAGAAAAGAAAAAAGACAGGCAGGACACAGAGTCGACGGTGGTATAACTCTATGGTAGAAATAAAATGCCAGAGTCGTGTCCTGTCAGTGACGGCGCGTGCTATTGTTGTGTCCAGGAACGTAGTTAATGCCTGGTGCCTCCTGTGCCCTGGACACGTTCCCGTTGAAGATACCACGGCTTGGAATTCTCTCAACTGGATCTAGATCCACGCCGGGTTCGATCCTTGAAGACATGAAGATTTTATCCAGAGTTATAATGGCTTGACGCTAATGGCGGTAGGTCTTTTAGGTTATTGCATGAAAGAGGAAGCGATGTCGTTGCTCATTATTTTCATTTATTTCTCAAGTTCTCATGAAGTTTGGATTGATTAAAAATTGTAAGACTTTGGATTTTAAATAAAATTGCGGCCGTTCGCAATCTTTTTGGATTACTTATTAAATTACTTCCATCTCGTCGGAATGATAGATGAGTTTGGCTCCAAATTGTGGCTTGAGCTTTTTACTTTGTCGGCATATCGTACGCCTGTGTATTATATTCGGATGCCGTCATCTTAACTGCATGATGACGATTATATGTTTCACATTAATACGTGTCCCCGTATAGTACCGTTAGCCCTCCTTTAATCGAGCGGCTACTGGAATTTTAATCGCGATCGATCCCGATCGATTGACTTGCTGGCTCACCTATTTGCCTAAGGCGTCTATGGATCGTTTATATATATGTGCATACATGCTGTGCGGCTCTGTGTATATATAAGACCAGTCTACACTATGTCCGGCGCCATGTCAGCAGCAGATACCAAAGACAGAAATGTAATAGATACTCGAGACGATCTCAGTCATAGTTGAATAAAAAATTTTGGTTTTATTATGAATGCAGTCTTGTCAGACACGCGACAAACCACCATGTATTATATTGTTCATTCAAACGATCTGTATATTCAATTGTTATTGAGGTACGTTACATATACATATAGGTATTACATATGAACTACGTAATTTAATTTTCTCCAAACAGAATAAGAAATCAGTTTAGATTCCTGTGGGGGTCTCGGAGCGTTTCTAATTGAATCTATAGGATCGCATTGGTTATCGCTAAGGATGACGCCGCGTCCTGTTTTGAGTCACGCTCGAATCCGTCCTGTCATCCTTCTTATCATCGAATCCGCAGGACGCGAGTCATCCCATGACCTCAGCAGACAGCAGCGCGTATCTCGCGGTCATTGAAGTCGAAAAATCAATGACCTGACGTCTCGTGCATCATCGATTCAAAATGATTTCCTATAATGACTGTACGTAATGAATTTTAAAAAAGGCAAATAAAGATTTTCTCACGACATAAAATATAACGTCAACGGTGAAATATCAGGTAATCTTTCTTAAAACTATTTTAAAGAAAATTCATCGCTGCACCGTGCAGAGGACACCAACTTATATTGTCATTTCCAAGACCCAACAATCCTGATAAGACCAAACAGTCCCATTCAGATGCTGTGAAGAGTGAATGCAGCTGGATGCATCGCGACAAGTGGTGAATTATCAGGAGAGTAGTAGAATCTTTTCGTGCCAAGAGCATAATCTGTGCTAGTACCATATACATAGGTACACGTGTTTAGAAGTATCAACCATTTTTATCCATATATGTAAGATGCTACCGTATGGTAAACATATGTAAATGAGATGAATCCCAGTATATATATATATATGTATATACACACTTTTTCAGTGCATCGCGAAGATCACAATCAGAGCGTCCCGATGCCATTGTCCTATATAAGAGGAAGAATCATAGACACCAGTGAATCATCTTCTCACCTTGATCTCATGAGTGGCATCGTTTGAACGCGTGCCATTGGCCACTTTGACCCTTAAGGCGTCTATCGCATAGCTCGATCTCGCCTCCTTATACGGTCCTAGTGCGTGAGCACGCATATGCAATCTTGCCTTGTCCAACTCGGTTAACAAACAATGTTACTCGACCCCCTGCTGGACCCAGGAAGACATCCACCCTACGACCTTATTTCGTGTCCCCTTCTAACCCTAGTTTATCCGTTACAGACGAAAAATCGCAAAAGCACCGTGGTCGTCCGTATATGGGCGATGAGCCGCTGGTGTCACTTGAGCGACTTCAGTCCAGAAGGCGGATGGGTGAGCTCAAGAGGAGGAAGTTCCGTAAGCGTCTTCTAGATAAATCATTCTCGGAAGCTCCCGTAGTCACGCCGAGCTTTAGCCTGAATGAAACTGTGGCCAGTAGGCTGGACCTGAGTTGTTTCATGAAAGCTAAGGGTAAGGGTTTACTGAAAGCTCCTCAGCTGGAGTACGCTCGTCCTGCTAAGTATGCCAGGTCTGTATACTTATTTATATGCAGTATATGTACATGGTGGTACGAATAACAGTAACTGTAGAAGTAAGGAGCGTACCTGACTACAGTGTGGTTATTTTTATGTGGACCACCCGGTATATGCACTTTGACACTCTTTTTCTCTTTACTCCTGGTTTGTTATCACTTCGTCTTTACGATTTACTTTGTGGCTCTTATGCTTAGGAGGAAGAACCCATTGCCACCCTACAACAAGTATCTGGTGGCTGTCTACGAATGCGAACCTGGATACGTCTTTATGGATCCTATGGCCGATCGTCTTTACTGCAGTGACGGGACGTGGCTGGGCGACCAGCCCATGTGCGTCGACAAGGCTCGTAAGTGTTGATCCTCATGGGAAATCGTGAGGCAGGACTGTTCCTGCCGTGGCTGCTCGGTCGTTCGGTCGCTTGTTTCCTATTTGCCCATGAGACTGATATACGTCTTGGACACGAAACGCGGATCTTTGACCTGGGATTCCGTTGGGACACGTCGTGGAGTCTCACTACCGTGTTGTCGATACAGGTAGACCGATATCTGCGGCTGACACATTGACAACCGAAGAAATATTACGCTTCTTACTCTGCAGATAAAGATCGACGCTCCGTAGGGCCACGTGCATCGCACTGAAACAAAGCGGGTTAACCTCGAAAAAAGAATCGTACTTATTGATTCACTCCGAGATCCTTGATCCTCGTGCTGTTAATATTACTTTCGAGGGCTTTCGATGTAATCCTACGAAATATTGTATTAGGCTACTCTTCGCGATTGCGTTTATATCACATGGCCTTGGATGCATATATGTTTCAGAGGTGACGCCGCTTCAGGATATGAGAAAGTGCGGCGAGGACAGAGGAGGGTGCGATCATGTTTGCGAGGACACTGCCACAGGACCCAGATGCTCCTGCTTTGAAGGATTTCATTCGAAAGGATCTTCCTGTCTAGGTATACATACGTGCTGAACGTACAGCTCGTTTCTAGGATTTACTGGATTTAGATGTGGTTGCGTCTAGGGTCTTTTGTTTTCCCGGTTTTTCAAGCGTCTGGCAATTTGCCGAGCCTTTTAAGGTCACTTAGAACATTAGAATGTGGGATGAACAGGACGGTTTACAGTCTCAGTTAAATCAACGTGTTTTATAATGTCAGCATTGATGTGGCGCCTTTGTAAATTGGGATGATACCCAAAAGCGGCGTGCAAGTAGGTGGTCATGGGTGTGAGGTTTCCCAAAAATCTAAATTTTTTGTAAAAACGTCGGTTCACCGCCCACGCCTAATCCACGTTATTACGGGGAACCCATGACAATAATATCTGTAAATCGTCCTTGATTCCTGACACGAGTCATGTATCACGTAATTGTAACGTTCTAAAATAATATAAATAAATATACATCAAAACAACTCCCACTGCTCTCATACGGATTCCATCCCAAGCAAAGATATATCCAATGAGAAAAAGCTTATACCGTTAACAGATTTAGAAATTCAATACGGTTCAGATTCTATCTTCCTTCTTAGTAAAGTCTATCGTATATCGATCACAGGAATAATCTTCCTAAAGAGGCCAAAGGGTTTGACAACGATTCATCGAAGGCGTCTAATTTTATTTTTTACGTCTTAATTATCCCAAAAATCCTCAATGATCACGAAGACCCATCCGAGGCATCTTTCCTTAATTTTTCGCTTAGCTCTTAAGACGCCTAAGAATAGTCACTCCGTAAGCAGGCACTTTTGCGCCTTGGCACAAAGAGATCAAACGTCTAAGACGATTAGCGGCTTGTATATGATTATCATAAGATTTTAAGCACCTCTATTAGCGGACAAGGCCTCGACGGCCTTTCCGCGGCTCTGGCTATAGTCTCCGCAGTGTAGGCGCCACGTAGAGTATTGTATGCTAATAGGGATAGCTATCAAACTACACAGCGTCTCCGTGCGTGCTGGTCATAATATTTGCGTATATTCTGTATTTCTATATAAACTATATATAATATGCGATTGCGAACTTTCCCACTGTAAACTATCTGTGGTCTGTCTAATGGAATGTAGCCCTGTCACTATTGCCATAGTTATCCTTATGTATAATATTCGCCCTATTACAGATACCGATACCTTTGTCCCATGATACTTGACAGTTTCTAATCAGCATTCTAGACCGCCCATGTCACCTACCTATCATATACAGTATTGACAGGCATTAGGATTGGGCGTCAGATCCACTCAAGGATCTTGGGATGCTGTAGAAATTATAAATATTATGATACAATAAATTAACGTTACATTGTACCGAGTAATAATAACCAGTCTATAAAATTTTAAATAATTAATACAATATTGTGTGGTACTTTGAATTTCTGATAAGGAACGGTTTTTTTTTTCATAGATATTGACGAGTGTCAAGAAGGTACGGCAGGCTGTGCTGAAATCTGCCTCAATGATCCGGGTTCATTTCATTGTGAATGTCGTAAGGGTTTTCAATTGGATGCCGATGGCCGATCTTGCCAAGGTCAGTAATATGATTAGGTGATAATTCATTTTTATATTTTCTATCACGTCGTGTCTATACAGTTAAAGTTTAATCGAACTAGTTTGTAAAATTCGAAACGATTTAACCGAAAGCATGTTCCATTCGAGGGAACAACTCGAGTCGGTACAAAATGCATTAGTGCCAGCCATGTTCTCTTTCGAGCTTGTAAATTCATGTACGTCGGGACCCCCCACGAGCTTAATGCGCGAGTATTAACTCTTGTCAAACATAGAGGCAACGTGCTCGACATGACGGCTTTATCTTGAGTGATCACGGTATAACTTTATTCGGCGTCAACCTGCGTTACATATTCCCCACGTACGTAAAAGTGACGGTGCTGGGATATGCGATATTCACGTATGAGATCTGCTTCCTGTCCTTTGGTCTTTGCTTTCACGGATCTTGATATTTCCTTTGGTAGACGTAAACGAGTGCCTTTTGAACAACGGGCACGGACCCTGCCAAGGTACTTGTCACAATTTAGATGGCGGCTATGAGTGCAGCTGCACGGAAATACCTGGGTATAAGCTCGCTGCGGATAATCACACCTGCGAGGACGTTGACGAATGTGCTGAGAACAATGCCGGTTGCTCGCACAATTGTCTCAACACACCAGGCAGTGTATTTTGTTTGTGTCCTGACGGATTCCGATTGGCTGACAACTGGAAGACTTGTGAGGGTTGGTAGAGGAAATGATTTTGAGATTGATATAATTTTTTTATTTTTTTTTGAAAATTTTTAGACTAAAATTTTTTAAAGAATTTTTTGTCTCGTTTTCATTGTCGTTTAGAATGACTTTCTTTGCAGATATTAATGAGTGCGAGAGCGATGCGAATGACTGTGGGGAGGACGAGGAGTGTCGGAATTCACTAGGATCTTACAAGTGCATTTCTAAGCCTAAAAGCATCACTAAGGTCCTGCAGAGCGAGGATTATGATGCCGAGGACGATGATGAGGATGATTACGAGGACGAGGACGTTACTGAGCTTCCTGAGAGCGAGAAGTGCGAGGACGGATTCAAAAGGAACGAAATGGACGAATGCATTGGTGGGACAATCAGGAATACCAACTAGGTTGTTTCTGGGGATTAATCCTGCACGTGTATTTCCTCACATTTTTAGATATCAACGAGTGCATAGAAGGAGACGAGGGGGAACCTCATGGCTGCCAACACGAGTGCGTTAATGAAGACGGAGGATACTACTGCAGCTGCAATAAAGGATATGACATCCAGGACGATGATGTTTCTTGTGTGGATATTGATGAGTGTGACAAGGATCCGCCCTGTTCACACGTGTGCAATAACACAGAGGGTTATTATCGCTGTTCCTGTCCTGAAGGATTCTCTTTGGAAGCTGATAATCATACCTGCACCGAGGATCAAGAAAAGAAGGACTGTGATAACTTAGATCCTCCATGTTCCCATAAGTGCAACGATACTGAAAATGGTCCTGTTTGCCAGTGTCCTTCGGGATATAAGTTGGACCAGGATCAAATATCCTGTCTGGATATAGACGAGTGTACCCAAGGACTCTGTTCTCATAGTTGCGTTAATCTAGAAGGAAGTTTCGTGTGCTCCTGTCCCGAAGGATTAGAACTTGAATCCCATGAGAAATTCAATTGTACTGACGTCAATGAGTGTATTGGAAATCATGGCTGCCAACACGAGTGTCACAATGTGCATGGTAGTTATAAATGCAGTTGTTCTTCGGGCTACGTCCTTAAGGACGATGGGAAAACTTGTAAGGATCTGGACGAGTGTATGAGCGATCATCTTTGCTCACATAGCTGTGAGAATTTGTTAGGAAGTTACAAGTGTATTTGTCCTTCTGGTTATGAATTGTCACAGGATAATATCACCTGCAAGGATATCAACGAGTGCGAACAGAGTCCTGATTGTTCTCATGGATGCAGTAATATCGAGGGTTCCTATAAATGTGATTGTCCCGAAGGGATGTCCTTGGGGACGGATGAGAAATCCTGCGTGGAATCTGGTGGCTGCGCTGTGTTATCTTGCTCGCAGGATTGCGTCAAGGAACAGGATACGTACCGATGCGTGTGTCAGGATGGGTTTGTTCTTTTAGAGGATGGCAGGACCTGTCAGGATCTAGATGAGTGCGCCGAAGATGAGCATGACTGTTCGCACGACTGTATCAATGTGCCAGGAAGTTACAAGTGCGCGTGTCCTGGGAACTTGAAACTTCATGATGATGGGCTTACCTGTGAGGACGGACAGTGTCCTGAAGGACTTCGACAGGACGAGGATGGGGAGTGTCAGGATATTGATGAATGCGCTGAGAAGGATCACGACTGTTCTCATACGTGTCTCAATGAATATGGAACGTATCGTTGTGCGTGTCCTGTAGGATTACGTTTGGCTGAAGATGGAGTTGGTTGCGAAGGGTCTGATCCTTGCGGGAATTCGTCCTGTTCTCATTTGTGTGTTCACGAGGGCGGAAGCTATAAGTGCGAGTGCCCTTCCGGCTATGATCTTCAGGATGATGGTTTTACGTGCAAGGATATAGACGAGTGCAAGGATCAGATTAAAAATAATTGTACTGATGGATGTGAGAATCATGAAGGATCCTTTAGCTGCTTGTGTCCTGAAGGATATCGGCTTCAGGACGACAAGCGCAGCTGTGCTGACATCGACGAGTGCGTTGATCGAACTCATAAATGTAGTCATACCTGTACAAATACTGAGGGGGGATACAAGTGTTCGTGTCCTTCAGGATTTTATTCCCTGGATGACGAAAAATCTTGCAAGGACATTGACGAGTGCGAGGATCATGACTTCAGCCATCAGTGTTCGCATGCTTGTGTCAACACCATTGGCAGTTACAACTGCACGTGTCCTCCAGGATTCATACTTGATGCTAATCAAAGGACCTGCAATCCAGAAAAAGATCCTTGCCAGCAGGATCAAGGCTGTTCGCATATCTGTGAACAGGACGGTGGAAAAATTCGATGCGAATGTCCTGAAGGGTACGAGTTGTCGGTGGATGAAAAAAATTGTCAAGACGTTAACGAATGTGCGGAAGGAACCCACGAGTGTTCGCATTCTTGTATAAATCAAGAGGGATCGTACAATTGCGATTGTCCTGAAGGATACGAATTAATGGAGGACGAGAGAACTTGCCAGGACATTAATGAATGCCAGAGTAATCATAACTGTAGTAATATATGTACGAATACCGAAGGCTCCTTCGAATGTTCATGTCCGGAAGGACATCGGCTTTCTAACGACTCCAAGACTTGCGAGGATCACGACGAGTGCAGCGAGGATCACGGCTGTTCCCACGAATGCATTAATCTTCCAGGAAGCTTCCGTTGCGAATGTCCTGCAGGATTTATTCTGGGAAATAATTCCCTCACTTGTCAGGATTATGACGAGTGTCACGAGAATCACGGCTGCTCTGACATTTGCATCAATCAGCATGGAAGTTTCCGCTGTTCTTGTCCCGAAGGTTACGCTCTCGACCAGGACGAGAGGACCTGCAAGGATATAGACGAATGCGTTGAAGGACACGAATGCTCTCACACCTGCACCAATGAACCTGGTGCCTACAGTTGCAGTTGTCCAGCCGGCTACGTCCTTGCTAAGGATGAAAGAAGTTGCCAGGACCTCGACGAATGTGCACAGGACGAAAATGAATGTTCCGACGAATGTGTTAACACAGTAGGAAGCTTCATCTGCGCCTGTCCCGAAGGATTTTTACTTGACGAGCACAAGCGCACCTGCAAGGACCTTGACGAATGTGCAGAAAATCTGCACGAGTGTTCCCACGGGTGTGAAAATTTCGATGGCGGCTATTACTGCTATTGTCCTGAGACCATGGCGATCAGCCAGGATAACAAGACCTGTGTAGACATAGACGAGTGTTCCCTGGAGCACAACTGCACTCACACCTGCGTTAATATTGTTGACGGGTACAGGTGCGAGTGTCCTTCAGGATATACTCTAGATCCTGACGGTCGGACCTGCATAACCATAGATCATTGCGGTGACGATCATGGCTGCTCTCACAGCTGCGTGAACGTCGAAAACACATATTTCTGCGAGTGTCCTATAGGATACACCCTGAAACAGGATAACAGGACCTGCAAGGATATCGACGAATGCATAGAAGGCAACGAAGTTGATAACGCCTGTTCTCACGAGTGCGTCAACACTCTGGGAAGTTACTTTTGCGAATGTCCTCGTGGATATAAAATTGGAAAGGATGGCAAAACATGCGAGGATATTAACGAGTGTATTCTGGAAAACGGCGGATGTTCCCACTTGTGCGCCAACACGGATGGCGGTATGGAGTGTGCTTGCCCGAAGAATTATCGACTCCTCGAGGACGACGGGAAGACCTGCGTCGAGATCGATGAATGTTTCATCGACAATGGCGGGTGTTCTCATTTCTGTCACTATGAAAGTGGTAACATAACCTGTACGTGTCCCGAAGGCATGACCCTGTCCGAGGATGAGTTTCATTGTCTGGAGGAAGACAAGTGTCGTGCCGATAATGGCGGTTGTTCCGATATCTGTGTCTCCGCTAACGGCACTGTCGACTGTCAATGTTCCCTTGGCTTTGAATTGTCCACAGATAAAAAGACCTGTATTGACATCGACGAGTGCATTAGAAACGAGGATAACTGCACTCACGTCTGCAGAAACAAGGAGGGTGGTTTCGAATGTGACTGCAACGAAGGATTCGTTATTAATCCAACGAACGATGCTTTGTGCGACGATGTAAACGAATGCGATAACGATAACGGCGGCTGTTCACAGTCGTGCTTCAATACCGTTGGCTCCTACTCCTGCAGCTGCTTATCGGGTTACATCTTGGATCACGATAACTCAACTTGCCTCGAACAAAATGAATGCAAGCTCAAGAATGGTGGCTGCTCTCACAACTGTCACAATGATAACGGCAGCCCACTTTGTTCCTGTCCGCCAGGATACGAACTGAAACCGGATAAGAAAACCTGCGTCGATATTAACGAGTGCAAAGAATTTGAAAACGACATAGACTCCGGTTGTTCCCACGAATGCGTCAATTTGGAAGGCAGCTACCACTGTCAGTGTCCCGCAGGATACGTGCTGCTGCCGGAAGATAAGAAAACCTGCGTCGACGTAAACGAGTGTTTGGCTGAGAGTCACAATTGTTCACACAACTGTTTGAATTTGTTAGGCAGCTACGTATGCAGCTGTTACACCGGACACTATCTGCACTCTGACATGTCGTCTTGCTTGGATATCGACGAGTGTCAACGGAATAACGGCGACTGCTCGCACGGTTGCACCAATACCATTGGCGGTTACTTTTGCAACTGTCCTGAAGGACTGCAGCTGTCGCAGGACGAACGCACCTGCATCGACGTCAACGAGTGCAAAACCGGCGTCGCAAAGTGTTCCCACGAGTGTATCAATACTCTTGGCTCCTGGAAGTGCATCTGCCCTGACGGCCACGTGCTCTCGAACGATTCCCGCACCTGCATCGACGTCGACGAATGCAAGGTCAACAATGGCGACTGTTCTCATGCCTGCTTCAATACCGCCGGTGGAGTCAAGTGCAGCTGTCCCGTGGGGCTGCAGCTGCATCTTGATCAGAAGACATGTCGCGATGTCGATGAATGCGTTGTTGATAACGGGAGATGTTCGCATATTTGTATCAACGTCGAAGGATCCTTCAAGTGCAGCTGCCCTAAAGGATTTCATCTAGGAGCTGATCACAGGACCTGCCAGGACGTTGATGAGTGCGAGAACGAAAATGGCGGCTGCTCGCATATCTGTGTCAATAGGCCAGGATCGTTTCATTGCGATTGCCCTGCGGGACACGTTTTGAGGAATAGCAAGATCTGTCACGCCTCGGATCCTTGTGATAAGAATAACGGAGGATGTGAACATATCTGTGAGAATTCTAACGGGATTCCTCGTTGCTCCTGCAGAAAAGGATTTAGAGTGGCTGAAACTGATTCGTCCAAGTGCGTCGATGTTGATGAATGTGCTGCTCCAAACGATTGTGAACATTACTGCGTGAACACTGTCGGCTCGTACAGGTGCGGGTGCAAGGATGGATTCTATATGAGAAACTCAACGTGCATTGGTACGTATACGTTTATTTAATCACAAATGATCTATTAGAGTAAAATTTATGCGTCTTTTAATCTCAAAATTTATGGGCATTTAGCAAATAGTTCTAAATTGTAGCGTTTAATTGTTATTAAAATTTCACTATTAAATTGATCATCTTAATAAACACTGTATAGATCGTCATATACATATAACGTATCGTATATACTGGAACCATACGTAGTGTAAAATCTTCATTATATCATCCCTTGTAGATATAGACGAGTGCGCTAAAGGCAGACCGTGCAAAGGAATGTGCATAAATACACAAGGTTCTTATCGTTGTGCATGTGCTCCTGGCTTTCGCGGCGATGGAAACGTTTGCGCGGGTGAGTAGGTATAGTAAGGATGGCATTATAGTCGTTGAATGCGCAATGTAACGCAATGGTAAAGGAAATCATCTCGCCCAAGAGAAACCTTCTGGGTAGATCAGCCTAAAAGCGAGTATTTAGTCAAAGTGCAAGATAAACGTTTCTCTACCACAACGTAACTTGCTTTCGTCTAGCTTCCAGAAGAGCTAAAATACGTTTGCATATATATATATATATAATACCATGGTTCTATTATATTCAGTAGACGCATATAGCGACTGGTTTTAAAATTCACTATTATCATTTGCATTATATATTTTACAAAAACAGACAGCACAGATGTAATTGAACCCTCATCCAGCACAAATGACTGAATACTAGAAGCACTTTGAAAAAGAAATGAGAGAAATAATCGAATCGGTTACATAAAACTGAAAACTTTGCAGAGAAATCGTTGCTGAAATTCCAATCGCATTGCAATAAATATGAAAACTGCGTATGCACGGCATGGATTTATCGCGATTGAATTTTTCAGATGTAAACGAATGCGAATTGAATAATGGCGGATGTGCACACGAATGCGTGAATACTATGGGATCATATAAGTGCACATGTCGTCCTGGATTCATTTTAAATTCTAGGTAAGCGGATTGAGATGACTTTTTCGTTGATTTGATATCAGTGTACAGGATTTATTCGTGCGAATTTTATTTTCAGAAATAAATCTCTGTGTCAGGATTTAAACGAATGCTTAACTCGAAATGGCGGATGTAACGGGGATTGCGTTAATACACCAGGAAGTTTTTATTGCGTATGTGGAGACGAGATGGTCTTAGCACCCGATGAAAGGACCTGTATCGATCGTGACACTAGATGCCTTGCCATGGAGATACCTGCATATGCTGACGTAAGTACTTCCGGTAGATTTAAAATAGCAGTAATGAAAAATAAATTTGAGCTTCAATTAAAACCTTGCAATTTATTTGGAAAATTTATCAGTTCCTTTTACGTATCAATAAAACTCCACTTTGAGTATTTAACCTTTTTTTTTTTTGGTATCAGATCAGATGTCCGGGACATCCTTCAAGATCTAAGGATTATCCTCAGGGAGCAAGGTGTCATATCCGTTGCAGAGAAGGATTCAAACTCGAAGGACCAAGTACCAGGTACTGCACTGCAGGAGGTCGATGGAATGGACGTGAACCATTATGCATATGTATGTGTAATTATTTAAATGACATAAATCCTCTTTTAAAAAGTCAATTAAAAAGTTGATTGTGACAATAGGCTAAGAAAGATTTCATAAAGAATTGTACAAGGGTCCAGCAGTGGATCTACAACGATCGCTAACAAGGTGTGCACGTTAGTCAGCTTAATGAGCTTGTTACCAGCTTACTGCCCGTAAACAACAATGCGACAATGCGTCCCGTTCTTCATTTTCTTTTGCCATTGTTTCGTTTAACGAGATTTAATTCCTTTTAACACGATCGAAAGATTCACTTCCCACAGTTCCAATCTTCCACTCTATATAAGCTATGACGAAGGGCTAAGATTTCCATTCGGTTTCTCAAAGACGATGACGGAGTATCCAGGACCTACGGTTGCCAAGGTGGACGCAGGAATTGTACCACTACATTTCGTCGGGTTCTCCTACCGGACATGCCACGACCCTTTATTAGATGTCCCAGTGACGTAGATATGGAACTTCCGTTACGTCAGAATACGGTACGAGTTTCCTTTCCGCAGCCCAAGTCTAACATGGACTGGTGGAGGTGAGTGAAGTACAGTTACCCACTAGACAACAGCTGTTAATAGTACTTTGCGATACAAGTGCGAGAAAGCGAACTTTATTGTACCAGTATCGCATAATATTTTCTGTAACGAATGCATGAAAAACACTACTTTTTGTGTCTCCAAAGTAACTGGAACATCTCTTCATTGGAGGAGGCAGCCATAAGAAGAGCAAGGAAGGCTTCCAAAGTGAATGCATTTCATGACAGCGCGCGAGAAGAAGGTTTACTTAATCGCACTAGTGCGAGAAGAAAGCACTAGTGCGATAATGTAAAATTGGGCCGAGTTGCGCATGCGCAGCATTTTTATCGTCCATAGATATAAAGCGCCACTTTCGCCACACTTCGGAGGCACGAAAACTAGCGTTTTTCATGCACGAGTTACATAAAAATAATTATTAAAGCCAATCAGGTATTAATTTTTTTATTAAAAAATCAAACATGGTAACCATGCATCATGGGGGTGCAACAGATACGGCTATGTTCCCCTGCTATGAAATCTGGTTGCAATTGTGCCGAACAATTCCATTCGGCGTACAATAGGAATTCCAAATGAGCTTAGGAGTTGCGACTGGAGGTTTGGATGTCTGTCGCAATGTATTTAACATCAGTCACGAGTAATCTGGTTTGATGTCCATTTATATGCTAAGCGGACATCAATCAAATGAATCTTGAATACTTGAGCGTCCGATGGTCGCTACCTTTTCTATTGATTATGGGACTATCTCCGTTTTCTGATCCTCATTGTCGTTATCATCCTTATCATAGTCATTGTCCATGAGACTTATTCCACTTACTTTTTCAGATACATAGAAGCGTCTCCGGCTTGGGGAAAACAATTGCAGGCTGATCTGGGTGCAGGGACCACAGTTGTTACGTTCACTGCTTGGTCACCAGTTTCCAATTACACCAGTAGTTGCAGGATCGTCATACGTGTACGGGGTGGGTTAAAAAAATTGAGAAAAATATAAAATACAACTTTTATCTCTATATTCATTATTTTATTACCGTCCGATTACTGATGATTGCTTTTTAATATTTATGAATGCAAATTTAATCTTATACATATGGAATTTGGCAAATTTGATTTTTGATTTTTTTTTTGAAGTACTTTTTTACGCATTTTCATACGCCCTAGATTGTGTAACTGTTGGATTTATGATTCGCTAATGATACAGACATTGTCGTACTGGAACGCCCACGTATTTCTCTGAATCTTTGCTCTGGAATATCCAGTGACGTTAAGTCTTTGGTATTTATCGTACGGCTGTGTTTCCTTTCTACTTTGCGTTTGATATTCTAGTAACAAACGTTGTACGAATCGTCAGTCTGTTTTTGAACCGTCGAGATTCTGCGATACAATTCGAGAATGAATTAATCTGTCATATGAACCATCAAGAGAATTACTTGTCGATAAAGCAAAACCCCAGTTCTGTTAACGACAGTATTTTTGACATATTCCATTTCATTACTCATTCGACGTGGTTTGTAAACTATGAGAATCGGGGTTTCCTAATAGTTCACGTATATGACAAACTATTTCAAACTGTAATAATGGATATGATTTTGAAAATTAATTATAATCCTTTCACGACCTAGAGAGCAATATCGTACTCATACCTCTGTTTTCGATTGAATTATTGCAGATACAGAGAATCCGAAAGTATCAACTTGTCCCACTTCGTTTGAGGTACGGCTAAATCCTGGCGAACGTAATCGACTGGTATTCTGGCAGGAGCCAAGGTTTACGGATAACGTGAAGGTTGATCACGTCTACAAAACGAGGGTAAGAGGAAGAGGAATTGTAATGACGAAGAAAAAGAGCGGGGGCGCAAGAAAGAAGAAGAAGGATTGAACCGTAAAGAGGAAAAGAAATGGATTAAAGTTCTGTTCCTGAATTCGTACCACGATGGCGCACCCGCAAAGGAGCTCCACGTTTAATTTATTTCCTTAAAAGATCCTTATTTACGAGGGAGCGATTACCGTCGCTGTTAAAAATGTTGTCCAACTTATTACCACCGCCGCGTAACAACGATTCATCCTTCATTCTCTTTCCTGGTTCATCAGAAATTCTGCTAACGATGAATGTTACCAATCTTGTAATTATCTTGCCACCTGAGACCGGTCTGTTAATAATAACGATGCCGTTACGTATCGCGTCAAAGGGAACGAGCAGGTTTTTTTTTAAAATTTGTTTAATACCAATACCAATCAAGAGAATTTATTTTATTTTTAAAAATATTTTATCACGTTGATTTAATTAAAAAATTATACTTTCACCAAAAATCTCTCTCCTCGACGATATACTTGGATAATAATAAATCTGATGGGTAGCATTATTGTACGTATGCTCTGATATATGGTGTTTATTTGTCTGATTGTATAAGTATCTACATTGATATTCTTATTTTTATATATATTTTTTTATTTTTATTGGTATCTCTTTACAGCAACCAGGACAGTCCCTGTATCCAGGAACTCACAATATTCACTACGTTGCTTCTGACGCAGCCGGAAATCGGGCCGAGTGCCATTTTTCGATACACGTACGAGGTAAATTACGTTGAGTTCTTCATGTTTTTTATGACTTCAGATTCGAGTCTACTTTTAGTACCGTACAGATGTTACTTTATACTTGTTGTACGTGCTACTAGAATTGTGTAGAGTTGCCACTGAAAGTTTTACGTATTCACGTTGTCTTGGAATAGTCCTGTCAGATAATTTACATACTTAATACAATTTGTCATATATCCTACCGTTATAATTGATACTTCTTTTTATTATTGATGCTAGTACGTCTGCATCGTCATATACTTGCTATCGATTCGCCGTCCAGATTAATAAATCAATTATTTGTTATCGTTCCAGAATCGGAGCAGCATCGCGAATCCGAGGTAAGCCCAGAACGGGGAAATATTATCAATGGCCTTGTTGAAAATGCCGTCTGGTAAAATCAATAGTGAGAAATCCGCCGATCGGAAAGTCAAATATTATTTTACCTCCTTCATTCGTTTATTTAGACTTATAATTCGCGTACCTCTTCGCCGTAATTGCTTGCAAAACAGTTGTGAACTTCGACGAGACGAATCAATACCGGGAGCGATCGATCCCACCGGTTAAAAGCATTATAAATAGTTTTTGTCTGAAATAAGTAGAAAAGAATAGAAAAGAATCCACAATCGATCCCTGACAATAGTCACTGTAACGAGGAACAAAGATATCCTTCGGTTGACTGGTTTCGTTAATTGAATTTTCATTTAAAGATTTTAAGGCGCAGTTAGGTACATCCCAGAGACTGAGTCCATCTACTCGCGAAACAATTATTTTACCTCGGTGCGAAAAATTATTCTCGTCAATTAAGCGGGTCAAGTCCAGGATCCTTTTAGCAGTCCTGAAGGAGCGAACGGGTAGTGCCTTCGTTTCAAATGAGATTGATAAAGACAGAGAGAATTCCTTTCGTAACGGCTAAAAGCGTGAAGTGCTGAATACAGGAAGCCATCCCATGGGAAAACTTTTCTCTTGCCTCGTGAAAGTGATCCTTAACGATATCTTACATCGGATTATCCTTTTAGCATAGGACCTACAGGAAGATGCTCATGTGCCCCGGTAGACCGCCACAGCCTTTACCTGCATCGGTTTATACGGTGAGTCCCAAGCATTAGAGGAGTGTCGATAAGTATGGAAACTTCATGAAATCGATAATTGAAAATTTGAAAAATATTCATTTCATATATATTCATCCTGTACGATCGTTACAACAGATACCCAGAGGATGCTATATGCGCTACACAAGGATCTTCTCCGGGACCTATGCACTTCAGCACTATCAGAGCCTCCAAGATGGGTATCAGGACTCCCGAGCTGCTTATCACCAGGTTCATCCTATAATACGTACTCAGCATCCCCAAGGAACACGAGCTTATCAGCTCGTCGACTGTAAGTGTATGTGTTGCACGTTTGTGTTGTCTGTAATAACGATATTATTGAACGTACGTAACTAATCGTTAATTCTACCAATAATTTATATCTTGGCCGTGTCCTTGCCGTTGTTCGACACCTACGAGATCAGCCTTTAGGAATATTTTATTTTTAGGGGATATTAATGGAAATTCTCATGAAGCGTGATATCGCCCATCCCCACCGTCGCCGTGACGGCCTAGAACTTCTGGCGGAAATCTTACTGAATTCGCTGGAATAAAATTGAAATTTTTCCAATAATTCGGAGCCTGACTAGGATTTACATACACGAGTATACTATGGGCACGGTGTGTATATTATTAGATTGATATGGCACATTAGCCTTATCACCTCGCAATGCTATTGGCGACTGTGGAGACTGGGGACAAGTAAAGTTTCTCAAACTCCTTGTCTCTTATACCCTCTGGACATTTGGGATCTCGTCTGTTTTTCGTATAACTGTATGTAGAACAGAAATTGGACTGTTAAGGGGATGTACTTCCAACTGGGACAAGGATAAAAGGAGAGATAAAAATAGAAGAATTCAGGAAGCACAAGCAGCCTTAAAAGCCAATAGAAGATGGAACCAAAGTTGGTCTACGAGATGAGGCTAATGGCTATCTATAAAAAGTGTATAATCTTGGCGTCTCTTCAGACTCTATTTTGTTACAAGGTGACTCGCGAGGCGTGGAAACGATAGGAAACTCTCCGAGAGAAAAAGGAAAGAATTGACAACGAAACAATGACGCAACGAGTCGCAGTATAGAACGTTTAGAGTTTGTCACGTGATGGAAGAGCACGTATTTGGCATAAGTGAAAATTGCTAGCTCTCCTTATTTCTGCAGAATGCAAAACGCGCGCGGTCGTTCCTATGTGATATTGAGCTGAAGCAAAATCCAACGTAAAATTCAACGTTATGCTGAGTGCCGGGACTCAAGCCCACTTCGTCCTAACCTTGCAGTCGATGCCGCCATTTGTCGTCGAGAGTATTCTAGTCCTGGCTCTTGCTGTTATTATGGCGATACCTCTTATCCTCCAAGTTCAGATGCTCTTTGTATGTACCTACGAGAAGTTCCGCATCGTCGACCCACTTGTAACCTTTAACGATTAAAGTTTCGCTTAGTTAGTGGGTCGACTTGATTGATCCAGGAAACCCAGTTATAGGAGACCTTACTTCCTGTAGGATGGTATCACCAAGGCGACAGATCCATATCCAGCTATTTGTCAGAACGATTGGATGGATGCTGAGTATCGTGATGTCGTCACGCATTATCCGGCAACTGCCATCTTGGACACGAGTTCTGGCTCTAGCGTGAATATGAAACTGATGCCTGCGAGAAATGCTTGCTCCACGCCCATGTTCAAATCGGAGCTGAAGAACGCGGAGGACACTCGTGTCAGGATGCCAATACTCAAGAGTTCATCGTCCTTTGTTATTACGAATTCTGTATTGCCGGTGGTTGATATATCTGCATTTAATTACGGCGCGTACAGGCACAAGATGATCGAGGCTAATCTGAAGAAGCAATACGGAGACTCACAGCCACCTGGTAACGTCGTTCTCAACTCTATTCATTTGAACTCCATTGATTCCAATGGTACTGTCAGAGTGGGCGATGCTACTGGTAGTCCCGGATTTATTGACTCTAACGAGGAACGTTGTGGTGGGACGACTGAACTAAGCAGGAAGGAAATTGAATTTTTGCATCCCTTGGATCATTTTTTGATTAAAGGTTCCAAGAAGAGTTCTACTGTGGAGATGGCTACGGGAACTAAGGAATTTGAAGATGCGCTTTCGGAATTGGTGGATTTTGATAAAGGGGTGGGACAGAAAAATTATGAGAGTTGCTTCGCCAAGACCTCCAATGACAGGACTAATTTGTCATCTAAGAATATAAAGATGCCTACTGAGATACATAAGGTAGTGTTACCTAAATCGAAGCATGGGTCCAAGGTAGATTTTCATTCTACTACAAAGACGATATCTAAAGTCGATTCAAGTTTAAAACCTGGATCTTTTAAAGATTCTAGAAAAAGCCCCGTGAGCTTTCCAAGAATAAACTCTGTGTCTTCCGCTGTACGAACGTCGGAAGCAAAAGAAATTGAACGAAGTAATGTGCAAAGTAAAAGAAGAAAAACCTTGAAGAGAACCTCCATTCGTCCAGCTACAAGTACGGAATCCTTAAGTCCCGTTTCTACGAAGCGTTCACCATCAACAGATCAAGAGGATGGAGAATCCTTCAATAGAACATCCTTTAGCTCTAGTGAGGCTGAAAGCTCCTTTCACGGATCCACCAAGTCTCGGAGTAAAAGTGGAAATCGCATCCGGTTTCCTGCGAATGAATTTCAAGTTGGTGAACAATTACATGATAGGTCAATCGTCACAATTGAGGAACAGATCCAAGCTCTTGGCATCGATAAGACTTCTTCACTGATCCGGAAACCATCGAGCATTAAGAATCTAACGGAACGTTCAGTGGCGAGATCGAAATCGAAAAAATTTATTTTTGAAAAATCTGGAAGTCTGGTCAGAGATTACCATAGCAATCCATCCTCCACTTCCGGGAGTCGTAGCGTGACACCTAATTCTCGACCGAGAACAGCTAATCCATCGATTACTTTCAGACCGAGATCCTTTGAAGGTTCTATTAAATCGTCCTTATCTATTCCTGAAAGCGCTAAAGACATTCAAGAGCCAATAGCTAATCGTGAGACATCAAAGCATACAGTAAATCCAATGGATTCAGACAAAAATTCATTAAAATTACAAATTTCTAAAGATAATGCTGCGAGTAGAAAATATTCTAGAGGACGTTCTTTGGATCCTAGTAAAAGTCGGAAATTCTCGAAAAAATCACCAACGCCTAGGTCATCCGAACGGATGTCCAATTTGAGGATCGATTCGTCAAGATCCAGACACGTTTTGTTGACATCTTCAAGCGCCTTTACGAATTCCACGTTATCGATGCAGCCGCCAGTTTTACCGTCTTCGAATTCCTCGGCGGTAGCTACACACGTTAAAGCTAATACACAGGAACGCGTAGTGCGATCGCCCGAACGTATTGGGAAGAGCGGCGACAGCGAACCCGCCGTTAAGAGCAAAACTTTGGGAAGTTATTTGAGGATGGCGGAGAGGCGGAGGACATTTTTGGGAAATTTAAATAAAACGCCGAGTAAGAGCGAGCGGCCGAGGACTGCAGGTGCTGAAACGATGACAGAAGCGAAAATTGTGACGGAGGCTCTGAAGTCGGAAAATGATCCAGAGAAAATGGTGACACCCGACGAGGATCAACTGTTGAATTTGAAGATAAGGGGACGCGATAAAATTGATAAGTCTAATTCAAAAATTCGAAACAATTTTCCCCGTGTTCAAGATCAGGGTTTCAACCCAGAGGAGTCACAAGGCAAAAGATCGAAAAAATTAATGAAAAGTTCCAGTAGTTCTATTAATTATAAAGATCGCTACGTGCGATCAATGCTTTTGGGACACGAGAAACCAAAAAGTATAACAAGAAATCCAATAATTGTAAACCGATCGCAAAATCAAAGACCCAAACTCTTGGCGACAGACGGTTCTGTAGAGATCACGTCAACCATGTTATCGAATAGTTTATCGAACTCGCAGGAAAATCAGAAGCCAATGACGAGTTCAGTTACAGTGGAAAACTCAAAAGAGACAGAAATAAAATCAATCTCATTTTCTGAAGACGAGTCAAAGCGATTCAAAAAGAAATATCCAAATCAACCAGATTCGCCTGAACGGGAAGCAAAGATTTCGAGAGTATCGAAACCAAAGTCCACTAAAAAGCATGAAAAATCTCAAAGAAAGTCTAAACAGTCCGGAATTCCCATTCTGGCTAGCAACAAAATAAATTCCCCAAATAAATCCAAAAGAGCTAAAAAGGACCTACTGAATCTCGATTCCCTAAATTCGTTAAAGGGCAGTACAAAATCAAAATTGCTGATCCAAAAAAGTTTACGTAGTTACATTAGAAGACTGAAGCACGTTCTCACCGATCAAAGAAAGGATCACAACGAAGATTCGGAAAGTCTAGCCAGCCTAAGTCTGACGGACGCCATACTGCCTGAATTACGATCGTCCCTGTGTTCCAGTGAATTCGAAGAACTGGAAAGACTCCTGAAACGACTAGAAGCGTCCACGGCGACACACGTGATCGGTCGCGAGATTGAAGCGTGAAAAAAAAAATTAAAGTCGATAAAAATAATCCATTTGTCCCAACGAGTAAAGGTTGTTCGTGGATCTACGGAATCGTAGGGGTTCGTTCGATGTCGAAGACTTCCACGATAAATCACTCTGCCAGGAAGAAACGGCCAACGGATGGAAAGTTCAGGCCGACTTTTAACGATCCGCACGTCGGTCCGTGCCGCATCGGTAGTGATTTATGGCGGTGTCAACGCTCGTCTATTTATTAATAGCACGTTGTTACGTATAAAAGAAACGTGGCAATAAGACCCAGATAAAGAGGAATACGTGTTTCTATTATACTAAGGTCCCGAACCTTTCCGGGATGACGACATCCACTTAGCTCTGACTTACTTATGCATTTAAGCTGCCCTGTTAGGTTAGGTTGTCGTTGCTTGAACGAGTCTCGCTGGATTGGGACTCGTCACGTTTCATTTGGGCCAGACAGATTGGACAGATTAAGAAAAACGATTTTATTTGCTAACAACTTTCTTCTTCTTTTGGTCAACCGGACGAGGAGTTCTTGGCATCAGTTCTAAGAATATGAAAATTCAAATACTGGTTTAAGGGACGTAAAATGGGCCCGAAAATTTCACCTAAGAAATGTACGTGGTATTAATATCGAGATTGACTGATTGTCAAATCAAATATTTATCACGATTTACATAGTTCACAATTTTTTTTATCCTCCGTCAAAATTCAGAATAATGATCATAGAAGTAACATTCGCCGGTTGCGGAAAGCTGAAAAAGAAAAAAAAAACTTGATTATCAGACGAATCAATTGTCAAATAATCGAGATTCCCGTCCGCCAATTTAAATAATCTTCTTAGAAGCTTCCCAGCAGGATCCCCAGCAACCCAGCCTCTGAATTCTTTTTTACTCACACATACTGCCATTAGAAGTAGTATCGTCCAACTTCCGTTCAACAAGGCTCTCATTGAATAGATCGTCGCAGACCCCCTCGAAGTATAAGTATACTCCGTCCAAAGATTTTCAACATTCTCAACACGACACGTTGTCGTACGACGCGAATGATGACTTTCACGCGACGATTGCGACGATTGCAAGCATCTGGGAAAGCGATTACCGCAACTCTCCTATTACTATAGGAGACGACATTGCGTCCCACTTTACCGTTGAACTCATGAATTTCGGAACCTTCGGGTCGCAAGTGCCACGAGAATCGTAGGATATTTAAATTGAAGGTACTTTCTAATGGAAGTACTTTCGATCCTATAATACAACCTATAATATAATAAACACGCACTTGCGAGCGTACGAAGTCTGTCAGGTCCCACCTATTGGGTCTTGCATTATTTGACCAGTTAATAATAGCGATTCTAGGTTATTAACGTACTCGAGGCCCTTAGTGCTCTGAGAAGACGATCATTTAATACAGGCTACGGTCGTTGCAATAATTGCGGCATTATTCGTGTCTATTTTTAGAGCTGAATAGTGGACTCGTTTAAAATCGGGTACCCTCGCCATTTAATGATGCCTCCTCGTCGCGCAGTTGAATGCTTCAATTTGTATGGCATAAAAAGTAAATTATGGTTGGCGTTGATAAATATTAGTGGGACCAGGTTTTAATCTTTTTATTTAATTTTTTTGTTCCCCCTTAATTCACGTTACAGATTCCACGCAGCAGCAACAGTACAATATGCAACAACAGTATCGTCGGCAACAACTGCAAAGACAACAGCAATACAGACTTCGGAAAAGTGACTACGGTGGTCAGTTGTCGGGGTACGCTCGTGGTCGAGTGGAAACGAGGATCCTACCACGTCGCAAATGCTGCACGTAAATAATGTCGGAGAGCCGAGAGAAAATAAAGAGAACGCAATATAACGCGAGCTATCGCTGGCTGCTACAGTAACGTAAATAACCACTTAGATCAAGACATATATTAATGTACCAGAGCGAGATCAAAGTTCCTCAAGTAAATTTTCGAGGTTAGGTGGATAAAGGTGGATCGTGGACGAAGAGTTCAGGACCTCTGGCTGATTAATCGATATATCATTTGAATGGATGGATGATTCTTGGATTACCAATATCCGACCATCTTCGTCGAATAAATGAAATCCAACTTGATACATATATATACATACTTGTATGTATATACATAGCTTATTATAGCTTACTGCCGATATTATAATAATTTACAAACAATTTTTTCATCTTGTTGCACTAATTCATTTATTTGTTCCTCTTTTCGGCTTTGAAAAATAAAAGGAGAAGACGTCGAAGAAATCGATGCAGCTTCGTTCGATGGTAACACGTGCCCTTATTAGGTTTCTTTTAATAAGTGTGTTGTAATTTGTATATTTGACAGGTAAATTTTATACATTCATAATATTGTGTAATATAATTAATCGTTATTGTAACAACGATATGCGAATGGCGCATGGAATAATAATAAATAATAATAAAGAGAAGATACACATATAAGAATGAAACACAAAAAGTAAGTCCCTACTAGTTTCTTTTTCTCTCCTTTTTTTTTTATTGGGGATCAATTATGGATCCATCTTAATTTTCTCTTCTCGTTCGAACGGAACTACGAACTGCGAGACTCTCGTAAACGACAGACCCTGAATCTCCGGTATTTCAAATACACGAATTCAATCTCGATTGGCGTTATCGATCGAACCTTCGATGATTTTCTAAATTGAATCAAAGGATCGCGTACTTCGCGCTACGTCTAGAGTAACGTCTGTCTTCACGACTATAAGATGATTTATATTAATGCAAATTAAATTTATCAACGCGCACGGTTTGGTGCCGCGAAACTGTTATAAATGGCATCGCGCTCTTAACATCGTATACTTAAATCTAGAACAATTAGCGGAGTCTAATTAGTGTCTCCAAGAAGTAATAAATTTGACGAATTTGACTATTTTTTCTATGGAAACGATAATATACAGTCGTGCGATACAATTTCATATGCACGTAGTCTGGGCTAGCTTACTTTTTTTTTTTTGCAATAAGATTTAGCGAATATCATGGGAAATGTGAATTTCAGCGAAAAAAGGATTTTAGTAGGTTGGCACGTATGCTACGGGATATATGCAATATGCTTTGATCCTGAAACTCGTCATTGGTTAGTTTGCGGTGGTGGTGGCAGAGTGGGGATTGTACGAACTTAGCAGAGCCATAAAAAAATCCACAAAAAGGGAGGTTCGTATATCGTAATAAAACTCAGTCTAAAATTTAAATGAAATTGGTATCGCTTATTTTGCCAGGTATTTAGCGCCGAGGGACCACAAAAACAAATCATTTTTCATCAAAGGGATTATCAACGAAATAAAGTTTTCTTCTATTCCTGGCGAACGCCCACGGCGAAGATGCACTTGGACGTCCAACCGGCCTCGTCGCTGGCTTCGTATTCGATTTTATGTTGTCCCAGATCGAAGTATTGTCCAGGTTTCTGAAAATCAAATAATCACCGGGAAGATAGTAGAAAATTGTTACATTTTCACAGACTTTTTCCTACAATATTCTGTGTCACTCATTTCTGCTGATTCAATTTTCCGTTAAGGATTTTATCCTATAAGGCATACCGGAAATTTGTCTGCCGGCACAAATATTGTCCCTCCGACCAATAAGATTGAGTATTCGCCTTCGGGACTTTTTTATCTTCACAGGCCGCTTCTTTTCTATTATTATGATTATCAAGTCGTAGAAAAGTGAAAGATTTTATTATTCGGATCCAATTAGCTTGTACGTGGCAATATGTGAAATGTTTTGAAAAATTTTATAGTTTACCTTATTGCTAGTGATGCGAGCCACTTTGATATTGTCTGTAAATATTGGCTCGTTCCAGGATACAGCAGTCCCATTTTTACCGATCACCTCTATACTGCTGGGACAACGATCGACTTTTGGTGCTTCGCCATCTGTAATTTACCGTGTCGAATTTTCCAACGTGAATAAAATAATTAATGTGGCGTATACGCGTAAGAAATATGGGCATACTGTATAATCGATCTATACGTCCCCATACGACATATGATACATACATACCCGTATATATAGTATATAAAACTCAATAGTCGACATCGCGAAGAATTTCGAAAGCCACTAATAGTCTGGTCCATCGCAAATTCGTACGAACGATAATATCATGAGTCATAGTAGCAATAAAAACAAAAAATTTGACTATTTCTAGATACATTGTAAATTAAAACAGTAACAGGATAGACATTAATCAAGGTCCTCGATTTGGAAATTTAATTACCAATTTTTAAACCGCTTCTACCGGTTGACACGTTTACTGATATTGGAGCACGACCGGAAATTACTTCAGCAAAAGGTCCCAATGTATCCGGAGGTTATTAAATTTCTACTTAAAAGTATCATACATAGTTAACGATACTCTACAGTCTCGTAGTAGAAATTTATTTATAATTAAATTGCTCAGCTGACTGTAATACTTCTTTGATACCAGAGAACAAATTTGCATGCGACAGCTGCGCTTTATCCGGTACCGGACTTCAAAGCTTAAAAACAGAAAACAAAAAATATTCACAGAAAGAGACCTAAAAATTAAACTTTACAGTGGAGGCTGATAACGACTCAAGATTATTTCACGATAACGCCAAGTTGTCCGCAGAAATTTTAATTAATCTAAAACGTCGATCATTAACGATTGCTTAATAATACATAATATCAGAGCGATTTAAAGTAGATAAAATGTACTGTTTGCCTATACCATAATGACAAAAGCATAGAAAAAAATTAAACTCCATCAATATCCTAACCTTTGACCGTAATCCGAAGTACGCAGCTGGTCTGTTTCTTGGAAACCGGATGTCGCGCAAAGAACGTCACTTCGTGCGTTCCCGGGGTTAAGTTAGCTTCTAATCTCGTACCCCAGGATGGTTTGGAACGTACGTATCGAAACCAGTCCAAATCCGTATCCGGTTGGCTGAAGGACACAAATGCCTCATCTCGACCTGGTGAAACCTCAGCTACGACATCCTTCGGACATTCCAAGCGAGGTTTGCTGTATCCTAGCAGTTAGATTAACTTCAATGCAATGGACGAGTTTGGGTAGCGGATTCCTAGGAGAAGCTTTTGGGTACTAGGTACGTACACTTGGCATAGAAAAATAAAATACAAACACGACGCATGTGAATTCTTTAAAATTAATTCTCTCTTCTGTCACTGAGATGAACAACTTTATTGTCACTCTTATTTCTTAACCTACTAGTAGCGATGTGACTGATGTGGACATTCTTACTCACTGACGCATTCACCATGTTTAGGACCGTCCCACGTGCCGTCACTGCGGCAGGTTAATTCGTATTCTCCGTGCAGTTGGTAGCCGTGGGGACACTTGAGGTAACACTTAGTACCAGGTCGATTAATCAACCTTCGTCTACCGCGCCAGGGTTTTGGAGTTGTGAGTTTTGAACAGACGACGTACCCACGGCCGACGGGATTAAGTGGAGGACAGGCGACATTGTCTATGTCTGAAATATCGGTAGGAATGTCACCATATATATATATATATGGTGATAGATTAATACCAATCAGAAAAACACTCCCGAAGGAATAATCCTAAAGGCCCATTGATTAGAAACATAGTTTGAAATTATTACAGCTGATATCCATGCGGTGCGTGTTAGATGAAATATGAAATTCTGTTGGTTATCTATTCTAATATCTCCATAACACATGAATCACATATGCTAACGAAGGTATGACGTATATCAAACTCATGGTAGTCGCTGCCCCATGATTTTGCATATAATTACGGGTAGATATTGATTCGAATGGATTCGAAATGCCAACCGTAATGGATTTCAGATATAGTTTTGAATTTGAGATAACTCGGTCAACTTTGGATGATTTTACCTAAATATGAAAAATATACTATCGGAAACAGGATATTGATGATTGATGACTATGACGTACCTATACAAGACTTTCCGTCGGGCGTCAAAGCTTTCTCGTCGCCGTCGCAGGAACAGAAGAAGCTTCCTTCGGTATTTTCACATACTTCTTGACAGCCGCCATTGTCCGTAGCACATTCATTAACGTCTGATAAGTTTCAAGAGAATCGTGATATTACCACGCAATTCGTGTTTTTTGTTGTTTTAAATATTTTACTAAAGTCCTCGCTCAAAAGTCTTCGATGGCGTTACTCTGGAGGGTCGGCGAAGGGACGTTAAAATAAAAGTATAAAAAATACTGATGAGAAGTTCGACACTCGATACTCCACAGACTGTATACACGCGCGACCAGTAACGAGGGTTTTACTGTTTACGAATAGCCAACACAGGGGGTCGCCTGAACGGTTTTGCAAAGCCACCCATGGTAATCGGGCGGTTGCAATTAACATGCCCAGTAAAAGATCCCTTGGTTACCGACCGACAGGTTACAAAAACCCCGTGACAAAGTAAACGGATACTTTGCATTATCCAATGGATCAAATGCAGGGTATGCTAAGAGGGAACTTGTGGATCAGTAGATTGAGCCGAAGTGGACAATCATTTTGGATGAAAAATAGGAACCGTAAAACACTGTACGAATTAGTGTGTAATTATAGCTGTTAAAATACTATTTATAATTTGTCTAGTAATCTCTAGCAAGTGAATCTGCCCGGTTTAGTTTTTATCGTAAAAATAAGAGAAAAAAAAAGGGGTCAGAATGGCTCAGTAAAGGGGAATGAAAGGATTCGAGAAGTAGATAAGGGTGCCAATCGCGTTGCCGCCTTTCTTCGAGGTGAACTGATTGCGCCCGAAAGTTCGTCCGAACGTTGAAAATTATCGAGGTGGAATACTCGAGCGACAATGGAAACCCTTGGAACAATGGTTGCTATGGGTTTATATGGGTGATACCATACTGACTGGTTGGGTAAATAATGGTTTTCGACGCTGAATGAATTCGGACTTGTGATTCTGATATCCTTTTTTTTTTATGTAAGACAAAACGTTACGTACTTATATCTGGTATCTATCTGTCGACTTCACCCTTAAATTTCATCGCCAGTAAAACCACCCTTCCTGGGACGTATTTCATTTCCATAATTTACAACGTTAGATGAAAGGTATCCATGCATTACGGATGAGCGAGGACGATGGATATATTCCATGCTTCAGGGATTTCTAAGGAGGTTCCACCCCTATGGAACAGGCGACTAAATGAAATCGCGCGATATCCGAGAATATCCGGCCTGTGAGGAGAAACGGGATACATTTGGGATTGACGTGTATTTTTTTTCTCCACCTGACTCGACCTATAATCACTGTTTCAAAAAAATAAATCAGTAATCACAAGATTGCTATGTAATCTGGAATTGAGCTATACTTGGTACTGTCTTGGGATATTGCTATTTATATTACTACTATATTGAATAATAAACTAGATACCAAGTCGTGACTGTCTGGGTAATGTGATTTGCTCCTGGTTATGGCACAACGTTGTTACGCCAGAAAGCGTTCAAAGTTCTGATCTTGCTCGAACTCCACATCACTCAAATATATTCCCGCTAGAACGTTCGTTTGTTCAGTATGCAATTAGGAATAGTTACGATTTTGCGTCACTAACGACAATTTCATATGCATTGTTCAGTCAGCTTTAGTGTCTACAGTGTAGATAATTTCTATTGTTTTCATGCCAATTCTGGAGATTGCATTGGGTATACGGTAGTTAGTATGCAAAAGTAACTATCAAGACTCACCGATGCAGGAACCATCGGCCGCAACTTGATAACCAAAACCACAAAGAGCTGGTGCAGTGTCCAAGATCGGTTGGTCCTTTAATTCAAGTGGATCTGCGCATCTGTAAGATCCTGGAGTATTGACGCATCCGTGATGACATACTTCAGCTTGCAGATCCGGTACAGAGCACTCGTCTATATCTGATAGTCATAAATTATCCAGGACTTTATTGAGTAATGATTTTTAAATAAATATCCTTGAATTTAAAAAAATGAGGACGGTGGCTGTGTACCTTGACAAGTTTTCCAATCATCCTCAAGCATAAAGCCGTCAGGACATAAACAGAAAACTCGACCCATGGTTGATAAACAAGTATGAGAGCATCCTGCGTTATCAATACTGCAAGGATTCGCATCCTGGCAAGTATGCTTATCGATGGAGAGTATAGTGTCAGGGATTCCTTCGCACGAGCACTGATAACTACCCTCAAGATTGCGACATGTGTCTTGGCAAGGACCATGCCCATTATTCAGAAGACACTCGTTGATGTCTAAGGATAATTTATCAAATTTACAATTTCCACTGAAGAAATCCTTCCCAAGGACCTACCCATGCACGTATATCGGTTTTCACCCTGGCGCATCCCCGCAGGACATTCGCACCGATATGAACCAGGTGTGTTGATACATTTGTACTCACAGGCGCCATTGTTATCCTCGCACTCGTTCACGTCTACAAGTTCAAAGGATAAGATATAATATTATGCAATATTGAATGCATTGAAATGACGCTTCCATCAGAACCATATATGTATATTTACCGATGCATCTGTCATCCTCCAATCGGAATCCTTTGTAACAAGAACATTGGGCAATCCCATCGACCTCCTTACAGACTTGATCGCAGGACGAATCAGCACAGACATTTCCAGGACTCTGACGTATTTTACACTTTGGTAATCGGCCGATCCATTGTCGATTTTGACAGAGCAGCCTGCTATTCTTGCTCACCATGTAGAATCCTGGCGTGCATTCGTAATCTGCCTCCAGGTACTCGTGTCCTGGGATTGAGGACCTTAGAAATATTGAACTGTTATCACACTGGCATGATTGGATTAGAGACTTATATGATCACGTGAGCTAATATTATTTTATGAAGGATCCAACCAATTGCATGGCAAGTTTGCCTGATAGGTTAAGGTAAGACAATTTTTAGGAGGAGCGTCAGTCCCATATCTCAAATGGATGAGTTCGGATTGGTAGTTACGGATTGAATTATTCATGAGGCCACTACTCACTTAACATATTTGATCAGTGCGTGCCAGGCTAGTGGTGCTGGTAGAAAAGTACCATTTATGCAAGATAGGTCCCCGTGTAAATTTTCAGCGTCGGAAGACGTCGTCGTCGTGGGTTCATCCTGAATGAGGATGGGTGCCCTGGGTATATCTCGAATAAAGGATACCGCGCTGAGCGGAGTATCAGCCATGAGACCAGTTCCATTCTGATCAGGACCAAAGACCCCGTCTTCTTTGTATTGCATCTCAGATAGCTTCGCTGCTTCTAACTTTGAGGTGATGTAATTATTGTAGTCCTTGAGAGACTTAGCCAGGACATCCTGTCCCAGGTCGAGGTTAGGAAGGTCGTTCTCCGACCTGGAGTAACCCAGCATCTTTTCAGCGTCGAATCTCGCGCCTTCCAGTCCTTCTAATCTTTTCTTGAACGCCCTTGCAGACTCTTCTATATTCATTTGATCTTCGTACGGATCCAGCATCCTGGTGTAGCTTCTGCTAACGTCTTTTCGAACTTCTTTAGACAATTCCTTCTCCATGGTTTCATCTACCTCATCCATAGGAAATATCGTTCTACGAGGTGTCGACGGTGCTCCCGTACCCAAGCTTGGTAATTCAAGTTCGATCACTGAACTTGTCGAATTCAAAGTACTACTTGGGACTTCCCAGTCTACCGACTTGATCCTAGCGTCGGATTTATTGATATTTGCGAATTCTTCATCCCAACCAGTGCCACCGTCTTTTCCCAGCAAAAGTGCAGCGGGTGCAGGACGGTCGACCTGGGTATTCTTTATCCCACGTAGCGCTTTATTTTCCCTGAACTTTCTTCCCCTTCGTCTGCGTCTCCTCTCGCGATTTCTCCTTCTGCGCTCCATTTGCAATTTCGCATTTTCAAACTTTCCTCCACTCACCTTCGATCCAGTGCGTATTCTTGTTTTTTGCCGACCTCGGTTACCGAGTTTATATTTTCCCTGACCTTTTCTGCCGCGACCCTCGACCCGTCGCTTTATTTCATTTAACGCGACGCTCGACTCGTTCCTCTTGCTCGACCTGAGAATCTCAGCCTGAAGTTCGGGCTCGTTTCCACGAGAGCGAGAACCCTTCCGTCTTAAGTCCTTGTTACGTCGACGCTTCTTGTGCGAGCCCCGTCGGCCATCTTTTATACGTCCGGACTCAGAGATCGTCGCTGTAACGTTATGCAAATCTTAAGGGCATACTCACCGAAATAAACCTCTCTCATATATCTATATATATATCTTCATTCGAAATCCTAATATCACCGTGCAAATACCCTACCGACATTGCGCCACTGTTCGTTCTAGTCTCGCGAACATTTATTCTGCTAAATATTCATAATAACAGAAAACTCACTTAGTGTCTCGAAAAGGGCGCATCGCAAGCGGAACAGTGCATAGTAATGTACATTGAAGTTATATCGGGTGTACCTTATATCTTGGATGCTATTCAGGCTGGCAGACACGCCTCTGTGTACATAAAATGTAAATGACTGTTCGAGATAAATTCGAAATCTGAAGTGAAACGAAGTAACCGCGCTTGTAAATTTATGGTTTTCCAAGATATAACCCATTTAATAAAACGTACAATAAATAACGTCTCGTTGGACTTGTAAATTATTAAGAGACAGTCGTCGCTGCCGCTTCTATCTGTAGGGGTAGGTACTTAGAATCTAACACTCACTGACATTACGCGGATGATAACTTGTAGTCCCTACTGTAGTTTGGGACACCAGAGAAATGACGTCCTTGTTACCGTTTCCCCCAGGCACCACTTCCGTTTTCGCTTCGACCGTGCTTCCGGCTAAGAGGGTTCCTTTACTCTCATTGAGCGGCTTCTCTTCCACAGGAGCAGCATCCCAGCTAATGGACAACAAAGCGTTTCTTTCACGCAAAACTGAAGAGTAACATATATCGTCGCTGAGGTTCCTGACATGCAGATACGAAATTCTTAAGCGGATAAGAATATTTGTGCGTAGGATAAGATTATTGAATACTGTGCAAATTTTTTTTTAATTTTTCAAATTCTGTTATTAAATTATCAGTCGATTACGAAGTTCAATAAGATTGTATGATTTGGATGTTTACTTGAATAATTTTCGGTTTGCTTCGGTTACGTAATCCTCGTCCATCCTTGATAAGGATTTCCTCTCGATGCTCCTGAAGGGTTCGGCATTTTGGCAGAGTCCTGTGAATATGGAGAAAATCTTTTTATTTTCTGCAGTTTCAACGAGTTACGTGACTTTTTTTTCATTTTGTTAATGGGGTTTTTTTTTTTTCTTTATTCGCCAGATGTCTCTTTCGAGTTTTCGAAAGAATACTTTCCGGCTGTACAATTTAATATATCTTATCTCTCGGTCTATCTAACTTTAAGGTGGAAGACGTTGAATGCCTGGAAGGGACATCCTCGACTTTTTGATTATCGGAACGGATGACTTCTCGATTTAAAAGTTTCCATGAATTCAAATTCGAAATTACGTCAAGCTGCTGGTTAACAAATAGGAAAACTTCTATGGTCGCTACAGGTCGACGTTCCACTAACGTAAAACTGAAGTTTTCATCTAGGAAGCTTCCTTCGTCTCCCTGGGGTTGTCGAGCCTGTTCATCTCGCGTAGCAGAGAAGATAAACTGTGCTGAGTCAAAAGTCAAACTTTAATTTACTCCAGGGTATGTTTATGTGAGATAAGGTGTACCGATTAGAATAAATACCAAAATAAAGAAACAAGTTATCTTCTCGTACAGTGAAATGAATTTTGGAATTCTTACAAAATTCAATCCAATCAAGCAAAGTAATGGATGCGAAATTGTATATAGAATATCGATTAAACGAATTACATTCCATGAAATTCTGTTGGTTGGTAGACCTGCGTCAAATGAAATATCGAAAAGCTTCTCATTCGGGATAAGCTAAAGGGGAATGGATGCATCCTGCAAATCCAATCGTCAAAGGGCCCAAAATTGTATTTTCATTATCTACCTCCGTTTTGTAAGCTACGTTATATCCTGTCTACCGTTTTTCAATATTTCTCCATATTTACCTTATTCACTTTCTATACCTATACAGTCGTTTTAAAAATATCTTTTTTTTATCCATCAACCCGCAATTCTGCCAATCTAAATAATTACAGTGCCCACCGTGCAAATTTTCATAATAGCAACGAATAAATTCAAACCACAATGCTCCAAATTAATTTTTTTTTAATTCTCTTATTCAAATATTTTTTTATTTTACCTTTCTCGTACAACTCTACGAGGATTCCATTGTAGTCGAAAAAAATTTTGCCTTTGAAAAAACTACTGTGTGGATTCCAGTATTATTCGTTTATGCAGTGGTATATGGCGACAGAGCCAGGGCAGGTATAGGTAATGCAACGGTGGCATTATTGGGTGGAAGAAAAATGGTCGTTTTCAATGTAACGGCGTCGAGCGACTAACTGGATTATCGAACGAGATACCATTATCGGAACCCAGTTAACGCAGAACTATGAAAAGTTAATTTTCAAAGGACCACTATACCCTAGATTACTACTATACGATATAAAGAAAAATGTACTCGTCCTATTGGTAAGCCTGTTTCACATAAAAATTTAAAAAATTATACTTTCCGTTACTGTGGATCATTTTCAAGGCTCGCCTTAAGGCGGTTTCTATATACTGACTCGGGCACTTCATACCAGCCCCCATCTTGAAATTGATCATTTAAATTATCGAAAGAATCGTTTCCATGGCGCAGAAACTTTTCGCGGTAACGTTTCACCGGAAGTGAAAAAGTTGATCAGAATTTGTATTTCACAATGAAAATACTTCATTCGCGTAGAAAGTGTGATCGGTTAAGAATTCCATATTAGATTTCTCATAAACGTACCAGGACTGTCTTAATTTGGCTTTTGCGTCTGGACGATTTTACCATTTGAGAATTGAGCTTTCGTGTTAATTAGTTTCGCGGTGAGGTGCCGCCTTTGCTATTTTGTTAACTCGCCCCCGGTCCCGTGCTAATCAAATGGAGTCAACCCCTTTGCAGAAGGGTAGCTGCCCTTTAGGACGTTTATGTATAAATTAGCAACTTGCTACAGTTTAGCCGAAGGTTGTATATAGATATATATAAGTAAAATTTCAAAATTGACTAGGTTGCATAGAACGTAGTTCATCCTAACGAGATAAATTTTCACTTTATTTTCGTTCCAGACTCGCGTTCTCGTATAAACTTGTAGAAAATAATTTAAGTTTAGTTAAGTCTGACTTTCAAGCAGTTAGCGGCCGCAAGTCAGTCAAAGTATAATATCACGCCACCGTGTGAACTAAAAGTGCAATTATAAATATAAATATATCTATAAATACTAGAACAACACGCGCCCCACAAAAGACAGCAGCGCTCCAGAGAACTGAACAAATACAGTTTCGTACTGCATATCTATTCTATTCATTCTAGAAAAATACAATTTGTGTACCGAGCAGCCAACTTACACCAGCGTTTTTCCAAACCCAACTATCTTCTTAATTATAACGAATATGTCATAACCATACCACATTACTTGTAAACCAACTACGATCTTACAGCTAAAATTTATTTGAACCGACCTGTCTCTCTTGAATATCCAAAAAAAAAATTCAAAAATCATCTGCTGTCTTTCAAAACCGAAAATAGGTTCTTCCTCATCTGAATTTAATTCATTTTTCATCAATAAATTAAATCACTAACCTTCGTACCCTAACACTAACTCTCACCGATGTAACTGAAACTGTTTCCAACCACACATTTATTTGGCATCTTTCAATATTTGTCATGTCGCCGATAATCCTAGCTGTCAAAAACATCAGATTCACACACATTACGAGACTGATCAATATCGGAGAAAACCGACAACAATCATTCGCGACTTTTCGTTATGAAAGGATATACAGTGCGAAAATTGATGAAAAAAAAAATACTTCAAAATTCTTTTACCATACCGATAGAGATTGTACCATTTATTCGTATTCAAATGAGGAATTAAACCAAGTCGTCGATGAAAGGAAAGCGGGGCAAAATTTCAAGAGTGGGATTAAATTTGAAAAATCAAAATAACAATGCAAGGAAAACAAAAAGATTTTAAATGATCGCGATAATAATTCCAGGATAAAAGAATAACTTTCGCTCAGCGGAAAATAACTCGTTCAATTGTTCATTGTTTGTAGAATAGAAATTTCCCATGGATTTTAATTAACAAAAGTGGGCCGAATGGAAAAGTCTATTTTTCTTCAAATCCTCATACACGCAGGTCTAAAGTACAGCATGACGTGCGATTATGCTATCCGTACTATTCGCCAGTGCATCGGTGCCCTGCACCCATCTACTTTAGCCAGTAGATGCACGCGACGAATGCACTGTTGATTCTCGGTAAGCCTAGCTGTGGCACTTCGGCCATTTCCACTCCCACATTCTCATTCGTTCCCTCTCTTTATTCCTAACTCTATATATAAGAGGCATGCCGTGAAATAAAACGATCCGAATGCAATCAAGACGACGTAATCGACGCGAATGCGTTACAGCCATACCTACGGCAGACCTAACCTAATTTAATGGCAAATGATATAGATACATATACATATACGTATTATACAGTTACCAAACAAGGAGCAGCTTTGTCAACTGCCATTGTGCTGATAATCCTTCTGCACTAAGATCCTCGGTGCCTAATGCAGTGCATAGGTTAGGTCCAGCCTTTATTAAGCTAAACACTTTAACATCCATCTTCCTGGACAACGACTAGACAATATAATGGAACTTTTCCATCAAGGATGTCTAATACTGACGTGCGAACTACAGCAGCGACCCCGTTTCTGCTTGTTACTACCTTCCTGTTCGCGTCTCGTATACATAACCCGTGGTATACACCGAGGAAACTTTAATATCGAATCGTCCCGCCGGTGGCGACATCTTACTGTTTACCCTGTTACGAATCCTAAAGGTACGTGCTTAAAAAACCTAGGTGATTGAGAATTCTGATACGGCAATTACGTAACAGGTGAACAATATATATTTTTTTAAGATAAATTCTAGAGATTCCGTTCCGTCGGAGAACGGACAAATTCCTCTTCAAGCACAGAGTGACAGTTACACGGTGCAATCAAACGTCGTACCAAAATAGTATGCAAATGGCGGCTTATCGTTAAATTAATCTTACATGGCGTGCTTTTCTGGAACTGTGACCTGCATCGAAAGAAAGGAGAAAAGGGTAGCGACAGAATACTTTCTTATAGTTAATATTATTCCTATATCAATTACGTATATTGATCATTGATAAATTTCAGTTTGAATCACTTTATTTTCGTTAGACCATTGGTTATATACGTATACACACTGTGCACAGAGCATCTACAAATTGTTATTGACAGATTTTTAAAAACTTCATACACGTTACCATCTGTTATCAAAAAGTATTCGATTTTCTAAATTGCCACGATCCATCCCGTTAATTCATACGTGGGTGTTAGATTTCACCGTGGCGCGCAAAGGGCTGGACCGGCATCTCCTGGGATTCTAAGGATGGATCGGTAGTTCGGCGTTGGCTGACTACAAAGGACGCAGACTGATCGACGGAAAGACAATTACAAGAGATGGGACGTCGATGACAGCAGTTTCTCATTTACAATGCTAATTCCAAGGGCTACGCAGAATCCGTGTGAGGTTCCTGTATAGGATTTACGATGGGACATTTGTCATTGGATTTACGTATCATGTGTGACTCGCACGATTGTTTCAATCACGTATACCTTATATACGTCTGTTATACATTAACATATCAGGAGGCTGTACCGATCAATTGCCAAGAATGCCTGGCCTATCCCATTTTATAAATCATCGATGGAGTTTAGATACCAAATCCAAAGGGTCAAAGGTCGTCGAACAATTCTTTATATATTGTATTCGAAGCACACGTCACTAGAGACATCCCGAGATAAAAATATTTATTTATTACTATCATTAAATAAAATAATTTCAAATTAAAAAGAAAATGTCAAATACTTTTTCAATTTTGAAAATCCTCTAATGCACAAGTTTCCAAAAATGCCAATGCATAGGCTGACTCCACCCGTGAATGGACAGACCCTAGTAAATGGCCGCATTTAATAACATCTATACATATATAGTGATTTTAACACGGCTGTAATTCACGGTAGAGCTTTCTTAAAGGGATTGATTTACTGGTGAATTTATCCTACGTACTGCAATTCATATTACTCCATACCCATATATACTACGAATACTCTATACGTATACGTAAGAAAGAGGAAAAAAAAAGTGTGTCAAATATGCCATGTCAATACAAAATTATTAATTTTAAATACGATCGCTCTCAACTCCCACCCATGAAGCGATATCATTTCTCTCGAGGCGTACCCTCCGCTATAATCCCCAGTTCCCTAGTGATTTTCAAACGACCAATCCTATCGATTAATCTACCGGAGGTGAAGTGGTTCCACAGTAGCCACCAAAAGGGACATTAATTGGATATTTGTATTCACAACAGTAATTTCGTACTGATCCATATCTAGGAATACGTTAACCACACACTGGAATCGAACCCAATGTCAAGGGTCACAAATATCTGATACCTTACCCATATACACGTGACACACGTATCAAGATATTTGATTCCTAGATATACGTATAGCTATAAATTATTCCTATATATCTATACCTATCTACCAATATATACCATAAGCTCTTAAGTACATTAACGTACTTCAAGACATATGTACATGCCACTGGCATCCAGAACTTCAGGCACTTTCTCAAAGGTCCATGTCTCTCATCGAGACTGAGTGGCATCGCGAATATTCCAATTTCTCAGTAATACATATATATCCTATACGCTATTCTATATACGGAAGCTGTATTACATAGATCTATGTATATACTCTACTCTCGAATTTCAAATACGACCGCTATCAGAGGACCCAACAGTGCCGGACGTTATTGGATCGGATTTTGAACATATATCCCATCGGCTCGTGCAGTAAAGCGCGTTGCTTGACTTTCTCCAGTGACGAATTGCGCAAAATTGATGACGTTAACTGACGGAACAATAAGATGACGACTGCTGTTCTACGGGTTCAAAGAACGATAGTGCGGGTGGGACGCGACTTAAAATTTTTGACAAATTATATTGGTTTCTATAGTCTTCTGTACGTATGTTGCGTCATATGCAAATTTCACGTGGAATAGATAAGGGCTTTGGATGTTATATATATTAGAGGTATTTATAGGCTTCACGTAAGTACACTTGCAATTTGAATGGTTAATAGTGTCACGTGTGATCTTTATACTGCGTAGGTAGATATATGTATATGGTTATTTACTCGCTCCCACTGTATTTGCCGTATTAGTTGACGACTAGATTTAGGAAGTTCCCATAAGTTTGTCATGATGTATATTGAGTGATGCGGAGGCTCGACTGTTCTTGGGTAGATGATATATGTACATATTGTGTACCATATCTTATATATGCATATGGTGACAGCAATAGAAACTGTCCCAGGCTCTAAATCAAAAGTCCACGGTTGACACGGGGCGTTCGATTGGGAATTCATGTCACGTAAACGTGTAACTAGCTTTAAATGATTTATTGGTCCATAGTATTGCTTGTAATTGTAAGTCATTGATCACGAAAGTGTTGTGTAATGCGATGGACATGCGGACGTATGGTGTTTGGGCTTGATCGGTATTTCATCTGTGCTATAATCGATTTATAGAGATCAGTAAGAAATATGTGATACTATGTATTCGATTTTAACTATGTGTAATGGAGGTACGTGCTTGTAAGTAGATTCGATAATTGCAGTCGGATTTAATCATTTCCTAAGGGCTGACTGATTATTCGTACAATTTTATGGATAATTGCGGTAGATTCTAGGTTGTTTTTCATCTCATAGGATGACTGGTTCGATTAATATTTTCGCGAGGGAACGGGCGGTAGTGATAAGGATGATAATTGATAACAGTTATATGCGTGATGGAGTATTTTGTCTTGCATTAATGAAAAGTGAGGGAAATGAATGCTTTTGAAATTTGGATATTTGATAAAACTGTTAGCGTAGTAATGAGTAAATTGTATGTCGAGGTAAGAAAATAAAGGGAGAGAAGATAAAAGCACTTGAAAGCCATAAGGTCTTCCAGTATGATGTATGAATATTTCAGGTAGCAGAATCTTATGAGTAACCTTTGAACCTTTGAACTCATCGATGCATTCAGCTGTAACTAAAGGGTCGAAGTATATAAGAGTTCATCGATTGCCAGAATATTTGCAAATTTAAGAAGATGACACGCTTGTTATTATACGACATTTAATCTTCGATTAATTCTCATTTTGAAAAAGGACGTCCCTTCAAAATTCAAGATCGTTGAAACAGTTTATGAAATTATCTAAAAATATTCATGTCACGTACCCACAATTCCTTGCTCCGGCATGAAACAACTGTACGGCAATATTAACGTTAAGAATGCTGAACTCGTCCCAGAGATTCTTAAAGTTACTCGTGCAACTTGAAGTGTAACTTCGAAAGTCGCCATGTAGGTACATATCTTTTGTATACTGTTAGTCATATAGTTTGATTATCGAGACTCCAGACATTCGAAAGACTTTCGAAAAAAAAAAAGTAACTGCCATACGTTCACCGTGATTCTTTTGACAAGCTAGTTACTCGGTGAGTCAATCGATTTATATAAATATTTTTGGCATTACAGTTAATTGGCACTTGATAAAAGCTCTAATGATAATAATATGTATGTTCAATTTTCACTCACCGCACGTGATAACGATTCCTATAATAAGTAGCAAAGGTAAGATGGAGGTTGATTTCCCAGTAGAAATAATAACTCCTTCGGTGCACATGGCGCGTCACACTTTTTCACAGTTCAAACGTTCGGAGTGCATCGCGCGGCCACTCGTGTGGCTCTGAGTTCGCGTTAGAATTTGTGTTTGAATCTCTCCAGCCTTCGGGAGGTCCAGCGAGAGGCGCCTGCCTGAGGAGGACCCGTGATTCGTCCATTTTCCCACTCACCTACTCACTCTCTCTCTTTCTCTCTTGCTCTAGTGCAGTTAAACGTTCATTCCATACTTCATAGAACTTTCTGTCTCTTTCTTGCTCTTCCATGTTAAATGTATCTAACGTCCTTCTCTAAGTTACTGTACTGTAGTCCTATGAGGCTTGATGCTAGATGGCAGCATTTTATGTGCGCGTGTACGTAGAATGTAGTATCGGTAGAGGCGCCAGTGTCGCAAATTCTTGGTAAGTATGTTGACTGAAGATAAATAAGTCAGGCGTCTTACCGGGTTTCTTGATAGACGAGCAGTAAACTTTAGTTCGCGGACACACGTCAATCGAGTTACCAACTCGAATCCCAGTGTTACGAAAGCTCCGCAAGATGGTGCCGACGAGTAACATAAATAAATAATAAACGGCGAAATTGTGCGTGTAATAATTCAATTGTCGTTCGTCCGTATGCATAACTTCGAAAATTCGTTTATAAGCCATTACCTGATAACGGGAATAGTATGAACAGAGATCAGTAGGGAGATGCACAACGCTACGGTTTTAGGCGATACCAAAAACATTGCGCTAAATCGTAGCGGCGAGTCCGAGAATAGAATTTTGTGATCATCGCCTCCGTCGATAATGCATATCCCGTCGTAGCCGAGCTGAATGTGATCACGAACGGGTAGCCTGGCGGGCAGAGATTCTCCACAACTTACAACTGATTCCCAGAGTAACCCTTAGAAAGAGGCCGCTTATTAGATATTGCCTAAATCTTTTTTTTTTTAATCTTAAATTCAAATGTACAGTGTAAGCTCGATAAGATTTACTAAGACAAAAGCCAGCACCTTATGCCTACCTGTGTTAAGGAGTGGAGCGATGCGGTGCTAGCTTCCATCATTATTTAACAATAGTTCCAAGCGGAACTATGGTCCGAACATGGAGTACTAGAGAGAATTATTCCGGAACTGTTCGAAACACAACCTGAAAACAACACTGAAAGCCAGCTTCTTATGCATACCTGCACTGAAGCATATGGTGCGACTAGTATCCTTAATAGGTATTTTAACGATGTTAGTAGCAGAACTGTTGTTAAAACCTATCTGGAACTATAGAACTCCTCGAGAGTTATTGAAAAAGCCTGTTGTTGAATCTTCTTCAAGAGATTTTAAAAAAGTGCAGTGCTGGAGCTGATACCCATGTAGCACCTCAATTTTTGGAAAATTCCTATTTTAACGATGTTACGTAGCAGAACTATTGTTAAAACCTATCAGGAACTATAGAAATTCTAGTTAAGTGCGTAGCACGTACAACAGTGCTGGAGCTGATACCCATGTAGCACCTCAATTTTTGGAAAATTCCTATTTTAACGATGTTACGTAGCAGAACTATTGTTAAAACCTATCAGGAACTATAGAAATTCAAGTTAAGTACGTAGCATGTACAACGCTCAGACACCAATTTTTGAAGTTCTTCAAGAAAGTATCGTTTGTACCTCTTTCCAATCAGTCCCTTTCGAAAGAGTATAGTCTCTAGTATATCTCCACTACGTTCCATCGTTTGTACCTTCATAGTTTTCTTTTAAATTTAATATTAGTGCGTAGCAGGTACAAGGTCTAGACACCATTTTTGTGAGTTTTTTAAAACATTTATAGGTAGTATAGTTGTAATTTAAACGTAGTATAGTTATAGGTAGTAGAAAAAGTGTATTAATCCGTATGCGTGCGAGAGAGACGCACATAGAGCCCTGCTGTGCTAATGAAACGTACGCGTTAGGAACATTACAGGGTGCGTCAACGATATCCTGAAATGCGAGCAATTGCCGTGCACCGATTAGCCTGCAACGTCACTCCAGAGCATCGTTGACGATCCCTGTACGAGTTGTAATTGACAAACCTGTCGTAGGGGGGCATCACTTTTGTTTTTTGAGGCTTCTTCGCCTCGGGCCTTCAGCCCATTTCATGTCATCTCTTTCTATACTCTTTATCCTTTACCTTCATTTACGAAAAAAAAGTGTGACGTAGTGCGTCGCGAAACGTCTCTTTCTATACTCTATATCCTTTACCTTCATTTACGAAAAAAAGTGTGACGTAGTGAATTGATACGTTTGAATAAGTGCATCGCGAAGACATTATCTAAAGTTCGCGGAAATTCGCGTATTTTTCTATTCGTAACAAGTGAAAAATTAGTCCGCAACCGAAAATACAGGAAGTGCAAAATAGTGGCCAAGGCTGGAATCGTCAAGTCGTCACCAGAATGGACCTCGAGTATCGAAAGATGTACTGGACCAATGAACAATACAAATGGACAAGAGAAAGGCAGACGAGGATCCTGGGGTAAGTGATCTTTTTCTTTTTTCCTTTTTTTTTTCTACTCACCGTAAACATTTATGTAAGCGGCCATGCTGAAATCCATAAATTTGATATACTTAGCGGATACCGGAATTATAGCATAGATTTGACTTATATTTGTACGAGATTTTGGCGATGCATTCCGAATGTGTTCCCATGCTGCGCGGTAGTGTCTGACTATATTTCCAGCTATTCTTGTTTCCGAGTGATCAACCGCAGATTCCGCTGTGTACTAAATAATTTTTCCTCGTAAACCCGAGTTTTGTGTATTTTGTCAATTCCGCGTTCATAGCGCACCGATGAGAGAAGAACACTGTGGACTCTATTAAAATGCATATTTATACATAATATATTAACACTACAAAAATGGAGGTGCTACACGGATGTCAGCTCCAGCATCGCACTCTTTTAAAATCTCTTGAAAATGATTCAACAATAGGCTTTTTAAATAGTTCTCGAGAAGTTCTACAGTTCCTGATAGGTTTTAACAATCGTTCTGCTACGCAGCATCGGTAAAATATGTATTAAATATGCTTGTGGTATCATACGCTTCAGTGCAGGCAGACATGAGTTGCTTGCTTTTGTCATATTAAACTTACCGAGCTTACACTGTGCGATCGAATTTAGGATTGCAAAGACAAAAAGTATTTAGGCTATATCCGATGAGTTGTCTCGTTCTAAGGGTTACTCTGGGAATCAGTTGTAAGTTGTGGAGAATCTCTGCCCGCCAGGTTACCCGTTCGTGATCACGTTCAGCTCGGCTACGACGGGATATGCATTATCGACGGAGGCGATGATCACGAAATTCTATTCCCGGACTCGCCGCTACGAATTAGCGCCATGTTTTTGGTATCGCCTAAAACCGTAGCGTTGTGCATCTCCCTACTGATCTCTGGTATGAATCAAGTATTTAAGATTGTTCAGAGTGCTAACGATACCGACAAAATAAAAATGAAAAATTTGTATTTTTCGGAGCTGTGAAAACGAAGGATCGAACTTAAACAAATGACATAGAATGTCCCCTTAGATTTGCAGCAGCATCTCAGGATACCTTGGTGTAAAAATCTCTACGTCGTCGAGGAATCGAAAGGTGCGCGAATAACGTAAGTTTCATATTCGTATTGTTAAACATATGACAGAAAGAATTGTCATACACGGGAATTGCTGCGAAGTTCCGCATTCGCGAAATTATATTTTCTTGCAACAGCCAATGCATAAGTTGCATCTGCATAGGTCAAGCGGCTTGTTCCAATATTTACAAAGGGCAGATTGGTGGCGAGGTGGAGTGCAGCTAAATTAATTCGTACAAACGTATAAAGCAAAACGTTAATACTAATGTTGAATGGTAAAAAGGTATAAGGAACTCATTTACGTCATGAGCTGTTATCGATTTACAAGGAGACGAAAAACTTTTCATACATTTATTTAATAGCATTCATATTTCGAGGATTTATTACATTATATAAACATAGACATTTTGTTTTCCACGCTAATTCCTAATTTAATGCCTACATATATATATATAGATTTTCATATAATAATTTATATATATATGTATAGCTAATAGTATTCCTAGGCATGCAGTATTCCATTGTTTATTTGGTAAAAAGTGCGCCGTGCTAAACACATTTATTCTCAAACCTTATTCGCTTACACACACATTCTTGTTCTCTCTCTATTTTTTTTTCACTCCCTTTTTATTCCATCTAAACGCACAAGGACGCACGCACTCCTATTATCTGTCACTCTCGCTCGCGCTCTCAAACTTTCATACCTGCAATTATACGCTCGTCCTGAACTTATCGATTAGCTGAACCTTAATGTGCAGCGTTCAGTACCTTTGAAAATTGAATAACATTCGCCATATTACCGATGGTAGTTTTGGAATTTGTAAAGGTACTGGCCTGCGTGTACATTAGAAAAGAGTGTCGATGCACGAAAAATTTTATTATACACAATCGAAAAGAAAAATTCATTCGAGCACTTTAATACATACAGACACCATTATCAGTGAACAGTTTATATCCTCTGTCACTATCAAGTTTCATTTAATTTTTTTAATAATTTTTTTCAATTCATCCCACGATCAATCAAGGTCTCGCCGAATAATTTTATACACGTGGAGTATGTTGCATTTTTTTCAAAAATTGTTATTGACAATTTATTGAGTTCAAGTGGTACACGACACTCTTCTCGGCATTACGTACTCTCGCTTCTCCTTAATTATTGTCCACAAAGACGCCATGCACTGTACCCACCAAGGCTGTACCATTACCAAAAGATGATTCATCTCGTCTCAAACGTTAATTCGGTTATACAGATAAGAGATAACACTTGGAACGTACGTTTTTTTTTGCAGAACTGGAGTTTCGCATCGCGTACGATACTCTTTTGCTTTTTATATTTTTCATTTGTTTGCATCTGTTTCTTCTTGTTTCGTTGCCATCTGTCTGTCGGTAAAGAAGAAATTTTTATCGTATGGACAGAAACTTTAGATTGGCTACCATTCACTAATCTGTATTATCGGCATTTGGTTTTGTATATATATATATATATTTGTTTGGCGAGTGTCACGTGTTACTGAATAGTGTATCAATTTTTCTATTAAGCTTAAGGTTTAACGTAGTTGAATAGCAGGATACGCTTGTTCTGTTCTTCGATTTTGTCCATTTCCTTTTTCTTTTCTCTTGTTCACGATAATTTCCCATATACTCAACTTAGGTACTAATGACGGCTTACAAAGTTGTAAAAAGAACGGGTGGGCCAAACTTATGTAACTACTAATACTATGAAATTATATTATTATATAACTTATGCGTGACGTTATTATTGTACACCTATTATTAATTTAGTCGACGAGGTGGGGTAGAGAAATAGTGGAGCAGATTTTTTTGTTCCCCCTTCGTCTCTTTCATTAGGACGATGGGAATTTTTGTTTTGTGGATGTTAAATGCAGCGGTACTTGTGAGTACCTGCCTTCCGTAGGTTCATTATTCTCCTACGCTCTTTTGTGTTATATCTATTTACGTCTATTATCTGCCATTCAGGGATTTCGCGATATCAGTTTTTGTTTTTGGAGTGGATTCGGAATGGAGAGCACATTCGAGCCATTTAATGCCTCGGATATTCAAGCGATGGGTTTTGGGTCGGTTTAACTCTGACAGTAGGAGGGACAGAACGAGTTAAAAAACTGGCACAATAATAAATGCATGGAGAAAGGTACAGGCATATAAAAAAATTAGCCGTAAACAATATAGCAGTATGCAGTTCGAAGAATAAACGTAGAATTAGTATAGAAGTCGCTCGTGGGCCATAAACATCTTGATTTTAAATAAATAAACGTTAAATATTTGCAGTGGATAATTAGGTTTCCTAGTAGGTACTAGTTATACGGGCTCGTATACGTTCGCGGGCGTCGTTTGAAATCGAATTTTCAACGAACGTTATCGGAGCGACGATCGATTAACGAGTTCCACGTATATTCCATGGCAAGCCACGAGATTGCAAGCGACTTATGTCTAGTCTATAAATAAATTATTACACCGATTAATTTCACTTTCCGCACGCAGTTTTCACCAGGTCTGCAAAGTAGTCCATATCGGTTAAACGATGCCTGCGAGAAGGATAACGTAACTTGAAATTCGGCAAGGATTCGCTTTATCTTCAAATTTGAAAAACTATCTCTCAAAAACGCGAGAATGATCGCATCGTGTAAAGTAAATATGAAGATTTTAGATTAATTATTTTTTATCTACATTATCTTTTATCAGCTGCTGCGGGGTTACGAAGCACTGCCTGTTCGTTTCTCTTTAGTACGATCGCGAACGTGATTTTTGAATTTGACGCCTCATGGAAATTGACAAGTTATTCGTCTCGTGGCTCGTTAGTCGAGTTTATGGGATCAGTTCGAATTCGATGTGGCGATCATCATGTTGAGAAGCGTCGCTCCGCAATTTCTTTGGATACTCTGGCTCTTCGTGAATTTTCAAAAATTATGCTGCATTCCCACTGCTGCCTTGTTTACAATGCACACGGAGAGATTTTCGTCGAATGACAATTCGTTTCGATTACGAATCAATTGGAAAGATTTATTCGATGCATAAAATTTATTCGCGAACGGTGTATTTGCAAATTCAATTAAATTTCACTGTTACCAGACGCGAGGTAATTATCAATGCGAAATACGGTTAAATTGCATTTAATTTCTAGTTTGGATCATTGGATTAAATGTACACAGAGGTCTCGCGTCCCTGTCCACGTAATATACATCTGTAGGTTGCTTTGTTCTACGTGGTAACAAAATTATTTTGCTATTTGAATATTGCTATTTGATTGCTATAGTGGCGGACAGCACTGCAGCGCAATTGAGAGAAATTCACGAAATCCAAGACGTGAGAATTTTCATTGAGAATCCAAGATCGGATACGACGTGAGAGAAGAAAAAACAACGATAGCTCACTTATGAAATACGCTCGATCAAAAGTCGCCAGCATGAAATAACGTCCCTGATGGAAATTGCAAGTATATAGAAGACGTTTCTTCATGCTTTACATAAATTCACGTGTGATTGAATAATCTTTTTGATTGGACAAATAAAAGAAAAAAAAAATTCCTGACTTCCAGCTGCCGCGAGATACGGCTCTAGGCATACGAGGCTGAGTTACATGTCTGCTGCGCGTAGATGCTCGTGTAATATATCTATACGTAGTTTCGGTTCGCAGATGACTTCCTTTAAGTCCATCGTTACAGGTAGATTGATCATAGACGAATATCCACTATGTATAGCTAGCCAATATCGAGATAGTTTTTACGCTTATGTATAATATTTTAATAATACATATCACACTGAGCCAGCTGTGTGTGTCCATCTAGTTTAGCCACGCACTTCGTCACTCACTCGTCGTGGCGCTGTACGCACGCGCCATTCTCGGGGCACCACTAATACGTCGAGACGACGCTCTTTAATCTCTAGAACGTTGAATCGTCCCTTTTGAAATTCGGCATAACGTTGCATAAGGTTTCTGGATTACTTTTCAACGTATTCTGTCTTTGAGGTTATAGCGCGTGAGATGTGCGTTGCTTCCTAGTAGCACTTGCGTGTGCACGTGCACTTGCGCACCAGGTCCACGTCCTTCGTGTATCGCGTGCCGTCGTTGCACATTAGACGGACCTGAAAGTCATTGCATCACTCGATAGACTCTTTTGAGTGAACGTCGATAGAAATTTTTAATGAAAGTTCCCTTTTACCTTGCGTCGTTTGGTCTTACGCGGTAGACAACAGGAATTGGCACAACTACCCCAACATTTCGCCAGTTTTACTGGACGTCGACTGCGGCATCCGTTTTCGGTATAGAACTCGCGAGTGTGTTCCTTGCGACAGGACGGCGCTGAGGTAGAGAAGAAAGAGATAATATGAATATCAGACTGTACCAGTAATGGATTCATTATCAATTGTGGTAATCATAGACGGATGACCTTTTTCACAAAATTGACCCTGCCAGCCGGTTTGACACCGACACGAGTAGCCATTTCCGTATGGGGATGGTACGCACTGCGATCCTTTCCTACAATCATGATCCTGACATGGATCAGACACACTTCCGAGTCCTAGTACGGAAATAGCCACGTCTGAAAAAAAATATTTGTACTTTCAGAATCATTGACGATGACTACTTTGTCGAACAAGGACGAGGCACTCACCAGAATGTTCATGGGCAACGTGCTCCTGTGGCATGGATTCCTCGCTGCTACCGGCATTACTAGCGCCTTCAGCTTCGACGACGTCCCTTCCGGCTTCGTCAGCTTCCTCCTCGCCAAGAGTACATCCTGGTGAGACACGATGTCTCCTGGCGGCATTGTTGAAGTCGACGAGCTTGTGATTGATCCACATTCCAGATATACATCCTGTATGCCAATAACGTAATTATGAGTGTTCGGACTTATGAAAATAGACAAAAAGGTCGTACCTTGGAAGCTGGTGACATTACGAAGATGAAATTGCGTAAAAGCCACGCTAGCCACATCAGGTGGCACTCCACCGACGTACATCTGTGTGGTGAGCTTGAGATACTCCCTGGGTCCTTCATTGATGATGCTTCTGGCATGACCCCGGTCCACCCTCATGGTAAAGTTCTTCTTAATCGCGAGTAACTCAGCCATGTGGGGTTTACCATCAGAGACCATCTCGTAGCTGTACATCGTCGAAGTGGGGTAGTTACCAACGTCATAAGACACCCTGACCCGTCCATTGTAAAGCTCGACGGCAATATGTTCTCCATCGTTCCCATCGTACAGAAGAATCCCGTTCTCCTGGCTGGTCGCGAATACTATAGTCACGTTGGCCTCGGGCCTAGTGCGAAGCGGCTCCAACTCGACCAGCGAGCTGTTGTCCACGAAGCTCAGACTCGTCAGGTACTCGCATCGTTTTCCTGATAATTCCAAGAGATCAGCATTCACCGAAGGACCATGGATGAAAAAGACAGTGATCGATACTCTGCATTTAATCGTACATACCGGTATAGCCGGGGTGGCACTGGCAAAGATAATCAGCAGCAGAGGCAGGGGATGGTTGGAAGCAGGCGCCATGTTGACAGTCGTGGTGGGCGCACGGACTAGTCTGAGGATATAGCATAGCTGTGGATGGTGCCCCTTCGCAATACCTTCCCGTGAACTCCGCCGCGCATTTACACTCGTAGTCATTTATGCCGTCGATGCAAGTAGCACCGTTCTAGAAGGTAAGAAGACGACGAGAGATTTCAATTATCAAGACCAGGCGAAATGAGGATAACAAAGCAAACTCAGGCCAACCTGGCACAAATGATCAACGCAGTCATCCAGGTTGGTGGAACAGTTGCGACCTGCGAAGCCGAGTGGGCACTCGCAGCTGTAGTGGGTCTGGTGGTCGACGCAACGTCCGCCGTTCTCACAGGGGTCGTGCCCTTTTGTGCAAAAGGGTATTTTCGCCCCGCAATATTCTCCCATGAATCCCGGGGCGCATTCGCACCGATAGGCCTCGACGAGGTCGACGCAGGTGGCGTTGTTGGCGCATTTATTCTCCGCGCAGTCGTCCACGTTGTTCTCGCATCTGGAGCCCTCGTAGCCGGGGGCGCAGAGGCAACTGTCACACACCGACTGAACGTCAATCGAGACATTGAGCCTGATATTGGATCGCGGACTTTCCGCCAAACCCAGCAAAACCGTTCGCGACTCTCATTATAAAGCTAGATCAATAGAGCTAATTGTTCTCCGCTAGATAATATTTTTTTTTGTGGTTGCGCGCGAAAGGAGACACAATTTTGGATCGTACCAGGTCACTCGTACGTAATACTTAAGAATAAACAACATACACAGTGTGATAATCGTGCCAATTTTTCGTAATACAATTTCAACGTGATTCCGAAGCTGCCAATCAGTAAATCTATATAGGATCTAATGACGAACGGATATGACGATTGGTGATATCTACCCAAATCTTCCTTCCTCCAGTACTTTGCAAGTTCCGGCGTTCCAGCAAGGATTTCCAAAACACGCGTCAATTTTATTTTGGCACCTGTCTCCGTGATATCCTGGCGCGCACTTGCAACGAAATTGTCGCTCGGGTAACGTCTCGCATATTCCACCGTTTTGACAGGGGACGGTGTAGCACACGTCGCACTTTGCCAGGACCTCGGCTGGCTGCTGTTTGGCTGAGCGGAAGAAAGGTCTACGATTAATGAGCAATTTTAGTGCCGTTCTAAAGACGTGGGTTAAAACAACGAACTAAAAAGGACAAACGCGTTTAATTCGGAAATTAAAAGTGATCGAGGACATTGACCGTAACTTTCAGTGAATTACGAGTGCTTTTATGAATGATCTTATACGGTTGAGACAATGAGAATGATAATGATGAATGACGAGGAACCGGAATGCCTTTATGTAAATGCTTACTTCTGCACTGAAAGGCGCTCGCCTGTGTCGTTAATAATATTTTATCCTTCATCGACGGCGGCTCTATGCACTTTGCTATACCAGCCTCTATAAAATCCTCCTTTACCAATTCGGCCAACCAGCGCATGTTGCAGTCGCAATATAGCGGGTTGGATCCAAGTGCTCTGTAAAGTATTAAATGGTCATTTAACGATTTTTAAGATTAAGAAATTTCATCTTCTCCCGCGATATGCTTACAGATTCGTGATGGACTTCAGATCCTCGAAGGCACCTTCCGGGATCAACGATATGTCGTTGCCATGCAGGGATCTGTGGATCGTAGCAGTGGTTACGTAGGAGCGTTCATTAATTAACGAATTTTCAAAATACCAATACGGACGATAGGGACCACTCACATAATTCGTAGAGATTTCAGGCCAGCCAACGCATTCCTCTGTACGCACTGTAGCTTGTTGTAATTGATGATCCTGAAAATAGAAAGGGTCCACGCGGTTAACTCTTTGGGCTCCGTATCGTCGTGACGAATATCATGATACTTACAGATGAGACAATCTCGTGAGATTTCGAAAGGTGTCGTTTGACAGCATTCCAATTTGATTGTTACTCAAGTCTCTGAAAAATCGATGCTCACCGTTAGCATTGGGTCGTGCTTGATTAATAAATATATAAATTTCATTTAGTATCTCGATTAAAAATTTCTCGGGTGCTTACAGCCTTGTCAAAATTTTAAGATGACTCAAACGCTCCGGTTGAATGGTCTTTATGTCATTGTAGTCCAAATAAAGTTCCGTGGTTTCCGGCGGTATTCCACGTGGAATTTCAGTTAGGTGGGATCGGGAACATCTGACGACGGAGCCGGCGCAATTGCACTGCGGCGGGCAGTAGTCGTCGCCTAAGCAGCCGACGCTGTCGCCTGAGGATCAAAGGAATTTCATTTTGTGTATTTCTCTACTTTCGATTTACGTAATTTCAGTACGCAGCTGTTAACGAACTCACTGTTGCATTTGAACTCGTGATGGGGAATATCCTTGATATTGGCATCCTTTAATCGAGGAGGGTCGTGACAGCGACCGGTAATACCAGGCAAATCGCGTTTCCTCAACCACTCGGCAAACCAAGCCAGATGGCAATTACAGGAGAGTGGATTTCCCTGCATATTACTGTCCATACGATAAAGTCAATTAGTCACGCTGATTACGGAATTATATCTAACAGCCTCCGAGATATCCGCAATTCCTGGATACTTACATGGTATGTATATGGCCGAGACCATCGAATGCTCCTGGCATTACGCAAGTAATGGCATTGCCATGAAGGTTCCTGCGTACGTTATATTACTTTGAGTCTCTTTTTTTTTTTTTTTTTTTTTATTGAAAAAAAAA